CGGTGGGAAGCCGACATTTCTGATTGGCTCCTAAAGAAAAGAACGTTTAACGGCTCTTTTGTCCCCGCCCCCGCGCCCCACGCGTACCTCAAAGGGCTACAGTCTTAATAACCCCTTCAGCACAACTTCCGGTTGTTTTCGGGGGGAGGGGACAAAGATTGCAGGCCATAATGCAGGCCTGGCATTTCAATTCTCTCCTCTTCCTTGAATCTGGGAGAGAAAAAAAAAACATTTTTACCTTTGCAAAGTTGCTAAAAATGGTGATAAAAATAGTAAAATAAGAATAACCAAGTAATTCAGGCAACCCCCCCCCCAAAAAAAAGCCTTTATTAAGGGGGTGCCAAGTCGTTTTATAGGATATAACAAAAAAAAGGTGCTGATTACATGTCAGAATTATTAAATAATAAAACAAATTAAAAAACAAAAAAATTGAACAGTAAAAAACCATGGGTTTAAATAACCTTCCACAAGTGGCAAAATTATGGGTTAGGCCAGCCAACCTCTTTCCCAGTCAAGTTTATATACAAATAGTCCTCAATTTTATAACTATTTGTTTAGTGACCGTTTAAAGCTAAAATGGCCTGAAGAAAAGTGATTTAAGGACTTTTTCACACTTATGACCGTTGCAGCCTCCCCACAGTCAAAATTCAGAATAATAATAATAATAATAACAACAACAACAACAACAACAGTAATAATAAACTAGGAAGGGACCTTGGAAGTCATCTAGTCCAACCCCTGCTCAGGCAGGAAACCCTATACCATTTCAGACAAATGGCTGTCCAGTCTCTTTTTAAAAACTTCCAGTGTTGAGCATTCACCGCTTCTGGAGGCAGGCAGTTCCACTGGTTAATTGTTCTAACTGTGAGAAAATTTCTCTTTAGTTCTACGTTGCTTCTCTCTTTGGTCAGTTTCTTGTCCTGCCTTCAGGTGCTTTGGAGAATAGCTTGACTCCTTCTTCTTTGGGGCAGCCCCTGAGATACTGGAAGGCTGCTATCATGTCTCTCCTCGTCCTTCTCTTCATTAAACTAGACATACCCAATTCCAGCAACCGTTCCTTGTATGTTTTAGCCTTCCAGACCTCTAATCATCTTTGTTGCTCTTCTCTGCACATTTTCTAGAGTCTCAACATCTTTTTGACATCGTGATGACCAAAACTGGATGCTTGGCAACTGACTCATATTTATGACGGTCACAGCGTCCCGGGCTCATGTGATCTCCTTTTGCGAACTTCTGAGAAGCAAAGTCAATGGGGAAACCAGATTCACTTAACAGCAGTGTTACTAATGTAGGAAAAAAAGAACCCCCGATTAAAATATTCTTTATTCTTAATATTAAAAAGAGGCACAATATTATATATTTCCCCTAAAGCAGGAATGGAGAAAAAAAAATCTTAACAAAGGCAGAAAGCAGCACCAGTTTTCCTGCTACAGGAAAAAGTCTCAAGCAAAAACATGAAGAGGCCAATCTTTAGAACTGTAATCCATTCAGAAAGACCAGGTCAGTCTATTCATAAGCAAAGAGCAAACAACTACGAAAACAATGTTGAGAGTTTGGAAAAAATTCAGAGAAAAGCAACTAAGACGATCAAAGGCTTGGAGACTAAAACATACGAACGGCTGCGGGATTTGGGTTTGGCCAGTCTAAAGAAAAGAAGAAATAGGGGGGACATGATAGCAGTGTTCCAGTATTTGAGGGGCTGCCACAAAGAAAAGGGGGTCAACTTATTCTCCAAAGCACCAGAGGGCAGGACGAGAAACAATGGTGGGAAACTGATCAAGGAGAGAAGCAATCTGGAATTAAGGAGAAACTTCCTGACAGTGAGGACAATTAACCAGTGGAACAGCTGGTCACCAGAAATCGTGGGCGCTCCATCAGTGGAGATTTTTAAGAAGAGGCTAAACAGTCACTTGTTTGATATGGTATGGGTTCTCCTACTTTAGCAGGGGGCTGGACTAGAAGACCTCCAAGGTCACAGCTCTATTCTATTCTATTCTATTCTATTCTATTCTATTCTATTCTATTCTATTCTATTCTATTCTATTCTATTCTATTCTATTCCAGATAAGGAACATAATTAGGCAAGCCAAAAGTTGACAAGATTAACTCAGACAAACACCTAGGATTTGCATTTCCCCTGAAGAGCCAAACATGACCCCCTACGTGACCCCCTAGGAATCTAGCAGCATCCATTAGCATAATAAATAAGGTGACCAACCGTCCTGCTTTAGGGAGGACAGTCCTCCTTTTGTAAGTTCTGTCCTCCCTCAAAAAGTGTCCTCCTTCATGTCCTCCTTTTCGATATTTGAAGACTAATCTGCAGGACTTTTTTTTCCCTCATAGAACGCTCAGAACGGCGTTCCGGCACCTTTTTTTGATGGGTTTTGTTTTCAACTTTTGCCTGAGCTGTGCTACTCCCATTATTGGCTTTCGAAAGCCAATAGGAATTGCTGCCGAGCGCGCCAAAACACCCGGCTGGCAAACTTTGCACATGCAAGTTGTCTGTATTATTGTTGCAATGAATAAAAATGTTTCTTTTATTTACAATATTTTTTCTTCAATTTATTTGTGTCCTCCTTTTTATTGTAAAACGGTTGGTCACCTTAATAATAAAGGACATGTTCTTGCATAGGAAGAGGCATCTCAAACACAAAGTCCCAAAGGAGGTAGAAAAACCCACCCGCTCTCAGCTCCATTTTGTCAGCTGTCCCAGAACTGCATGCTGTTGCTGGTTCTGCTCCTCAGGAAACAAAAACCTTCTTTCCTCAGCAGCCTCCATTTTTATTTCCAACGTCTTAGCCTCCATTTTATTCACTCCCGGCTTGGAACTGGACCAGCTTTTTCTTTCAGCACTGCAATGATTCCCTTAATAGCTTTTGCAAGAAAGGTCGTAAACATGAGACAAAGCTCACTTAATAGCTATCCTACTTAGCAATGGAAAACATTGGGTTCCATTGTAGTCGTACATTGAGGACGGCCTGTGTTTCTTAATGTTTGCATGTGTCTTCAAGGACTTCCAGAATAATATTTCTACTGTGGGGTTTGTGAATAAGCTGTTTTTTTGCACAAAGGGCTTTGCCTCAAAGGAGAAAGAAGGCTTGATGATCTTCAAAAGATCCCTAAACAAACAGTTGTACGTTGAGGACCATCCATATGGAAAACCCATGCTTGCTAGGACTGTGGATAGATAGGGCATGTCTAAGAGGGAAGAGACCCTGGGTTCAAATGTGACATCTTTTATGATTGGGTACATGAACACATGCAGGCCTGTTGGTTCCCCAGCCAACATGGGGAATTCTGGGAGTTGAAGTCCACCCGTTTAAAGCTGGTTCCCCAGCCAGCATGGGGAATTCTGGGAGTTGAAGTCTACCCGTCATAAAGCTGGCTCCACAGGCAGCATGGGGAATTCTGGGAGCTGAAATCCACCCGTCTTAAAGCTAGTTTCCCAGCCAGCATGGGGAATTCTGGGAGTTGAAGTCCACCCGTTTAAAGCTGGTTCCCAGCCAGCATGGGGAATTCTGGGAGTTGAAATCCACCCATCATAAAGCTGTCTCCGCAGCCAGCGTGGGGAATTCTGGGAGTTGAAGTCCACCCGTCTTAAAGCTAATTCCCCAGCCAGCATGGGGAATTCTGGGAGTTGAAGTCCACCTGTCATAAAGCTGGCTCTGCAGCCAGCATGGGGAATTCTGGGAATTGTGGTCCACCCGTCTTAAACTGGTTCCCCAGCCAACATGGGGAATTCTGGGAGTTGAAGTCCACACGTCATAAAGCTGGCTCCGTAGCCAGCATGGGGAATTCTGGGAGTTGAAATCCACCCGTCTTAAAGCTGGCTCCGCAGCCAGCATGGCGAATTCTGGGAGTTGAAGTCCACCCGTTTAAAGCTGGTTCCCCAGCCAGTATGGGGAATTCTGGGAGTTGAAATCCATCCGTCTTAAAGCTGGCTCCTCAGCCAGCATGGGGAATTCTGGGAATTGTGGTCCATCCGTCTTAAACTGGTTCCCCAGCCAACATGGGGAATTCTGGGAGTTGAAGTCCACCCGTCATAAAGCTGGCTCTGTAGCCAGCATGGGGAATTCTGGGAGTTGAAATCCATCCGTCTTAAAGCTGGCTCCCCAGCCAGTATAGGGAATTCTGGGAGTTGAAATCCACCCGTCTTAAAGCTGGCTCCTCAGCCAGCATGGGGAATTCTGGGAGTTGAAGTCCACCCGTCTTAAAGCTGGCTCCGCAGCCAGCATGGCGAATTCTGGGAGTTGAAGTCCACCCGTTTAAAGCTGGTTCCCCAGCCAGTATGGGGAATTCTGGGAGTTGAAATCCACCCGTCTTAAAGCTGGTTCCCCAGCCAGCGTGGGGAATTCTGGGAGTTGAAATCCATCCGTCTTAAAGCTGGCTCCCCAGCCAGCATAGGGAATTCTGGGAGTTGAAGTCCACCCGTCATAAAGCTGGCTCCTCAGCCAGTATGGGGAATTCTGGGAGTTGAAGTCCACCCGTCATAAAGCTGGCTCCGCAGCCAGTATGGGGAATTCTGGGAGTTGAAGTTCACCCGTCTTAAAGCTGGTTCCCCAGCCAGCGTGGGGAATTCTGGGAGTTGAAGTCCACCCATCTTAAAGCTGCTACTACCATAGCTTGTAGCACAGCCAAGGAACGCTCCAGAGTTTAACAGACAGAATGAAACAGCTGGATTCAGTTATCTTTCTGAAGTTGCCCTAAAGTTTCTCCTACTGCTTTGACCGGCCAGATTTGGTGGACTTGAGATAGTTGGTCAATTTCCATCAGAGAAAAGAGACACTCCCCCTCTTCTCTTCTTTTTTAATTGGATAGCTCAGCCCTTTTTATGCTGCATGAGGAAGAGCTCAAGAGAATTTCAGCGGATCAAGATGGGCTTTCATTATTCATGACCGGAGGAATCACACTCCATGATTCAGACATAAACAGAAGTTAATGACCCCGCCAAGCCAAGCCAACGCCTCTTGTTAACATCTAAGTTATGGATGTCTTGAGGAGCTTGGAAAGGGTCTCTTTTTTACCGTTCAGGCCAACGTGGAAACCCCCCCCCCATTCCAGGATCACATCTCTGACCTCTTGCTTCTAAACTGATTGAAGTCAATGACCCACTTCTCAGTCCACTCCCTTCCTCAAACAGTGTGAGGTTTCCATATCTCTGACCCTGCATTAACTCCCATTTGATCTTCTGAATTATTCATCTCTGCGGAAACATTTCTGGGCATGATCTCTTTTAAAGAGACATTTTGTCCCTGGCAGTTTTGGATGGCTCTTTCCAGAAGTAATCAAGTCTTTCAGAGTCTCGTAAACAGAAATTGTTCTTTCTCGGCTCTCGTTTTGGGTGCGATTATGGGATTTCTTGCAAGGATTCCTCGCTCGAGCATCGATCCGTCGGAAACTGGAAGACCGGCTTTCCAAGATAGGTAGTTAAGAGTCATTTTTGAGCCACCTTTGGCTGGACCGGATCCAAAAAGCTCGTCAGCTCGCAAGCTCTCAAAGAAAACACATCTTTTGCACGGACGGGGCAGGCTCCGGAGGCGCTATAAAAGGACTGAGCCAGAGAGCGAGGCAGTTGGTGGGACTGAGTGACAGCTGGAAGGCAGAAAAGAACGATGGGGCTCTTGGCAAGAGCCAAGACGACCCCCCCGTTGGATCAATAGACCAAGGGAGAGGGTGTTTGGAGACTCAGCATCTACCTAAGATGTCAGCAAGCTCGGGAGAGGTAGATAACCAAAAGGCAGAGGACAATCTCAGCTTAGACAACCGGCGCGAAAGGACCAAAAGCAGAGATAAGGCAGACATTTGACATATACACTGACGGAGAGGTCCTATTATTATGAGTAACAGATCTTGTGCTGACAATTCCTCTTTTCTCCTCCTAGAAAGGAACCAGGCAGAGGACTCAATGGGAGAAGAGAGACCGTTGATGACAAAGAGCGGCGTTTATGCCTCCCCACCCACCCGTGTAAATTCCTGTGAAGAAGCAGAGCAATTGTAGAGTCCCGTACGGCAAGAAGACTCAAGAATCTGCGATCCGAGGATGTAACGGGATACGTGGAGATCTTGGAGCTACAAAGGTTGGAAGACGGGCAAGAGAATGATCAAGGGGCAAGTCTTCCTCCCCCGAGGAGAAATAGGACCCGACCCCCGAGCATCGTGAGAGAAGGACGAGTCTCGTGGAAGGGTTGAAAAAGGTAATCCTGGAAGGTAACCACCCCTAAAAGATCACAATCGACTGGACGGGACAAGTGACCTGGGCCGTAGGGAAAGAAGAGGGTCAGCAACTTTGCTCCTATGGCCCGTGCTCCGCCTTCCCCTTTGACCCCCAGCAACATTCCCCGCAACTTAAGCTACATCGCAGGCTTGTACGAGAGGGCCTATTATCGCACAGCCCGTCCGAGCATTGCAGAGGATTCGGGAACCGAAGGCTCCGAATCCGAGTCCGAAGGCAGGCCACGAAGCAGGCCCCAGAGACGTCGCCATCTCTTCAGAGGACCCAAACGGAGGGGAAGACGCCGGACTCGCTCTGCCCCTGCTCAGGGGAGGAGCCGAGGTGTATCCCGCAGCCGTAGCCCCGGGACTCGCAAGAGAGTTCGCTTCGCCGACTCACTGGGCCTGGAGCTGATCAGCGTGCGGCAGTTCTGGCCCAACGATCTCCCGCAGGTGCCAGAGCGGGTCCACAACCAGCTGAGGCGGGACTCGCTCAGCCACTTTGCTCCGTGTCTGCCGTTCTGCCCGCCGGTGAAGGTAACGGGGTCGGTCCTGCCCGGAAGCAGGTGGGGTGGGTTTGGGTGAGCCTAAAAAAAAAAAAAGAAAGAAAGAAAGTTAGAGCCGTGCAATTGTTTCGGAGTTTTCTTTTGCCCAGGAGAAGAACGGGGTGTTCATTTCCTCGAGCGAAAAACAGGATCATTTTGTAACCAGGTCCTGGGAAGTCAAAAAATGTCTTCCTTGCCACAGAAATAGTGCTGCCTCTACTGGTCACAAGGGGGTGCTGTTGTAAGCCGGTTTTAAGCAAGAGACCGTTTAGACTAGAATAGACTACTTTATTGGCCAAGTGTGATAGACAACAAGGGTTTTAAAAAGGCGAATTAATACGTGCCCGGTCTCTCCAGGTCTAGAGTTTGAGTCAGCAAAATATTAAGTGTCTACCTGTATAAAATAACCTTACAGGGGTCCACAGGTCAAAAAAAACTCAAAATGGTAATTACAGGTTAAGGCTCTGCAGAATTTTAAATGTTCGTTGCACATAAAAAGCAGGCAGTTTTGACCACGTCAATGTGACCCACATTCTCCATCTTTTTTTTTTTTGACCGTGCCTTCCAGACATCCCTGCAAAATCTTACAGGTTAAGTTTACTTGTGTTAACAGCATCTTTAATTAATGAAAATAGAATAGAAGGAGGGCTGCAAAAATCCAGCCATCCATGAGACGGCTGCAGTTTTCTGGATTGCTCATGTTATATTTAGCTGGACCCTGTACGGCGAGTGGCTTAGCCCATTGGAGAGAAAACAACAAAGTCATGAGAACAGGGCCAGCAAATTTAAACCTGCTGAATAATGCACAATCCAGAAGTTACGGCTAAGTCAGGAGCTTTAGCCAAGGAATACAGCTTCTATTACTTCTAAATGCAGATGATACCATTCTATGCAGATGATACCACTCTGATGGCAGAAAGTGAAGAGGAACTAAAGAGCCTCTTGATGCGGGTGAAGAAGGAGAGTGCAAAAGTTGGCTTGAAACTCAACATTAAGAAAACCAAAATCATGGCATCCGGCCCTCTCAATTCCTGGCAAATAGATGGGGAAGAAATGGAGGTAGTGACAGATTTTATTTTTCTGGGCTCCAAGATCACCTCAGATGGGACTGCAGCCAAGAAATTAAAAGACGCTTGCTCCTGGGGAGGAAAGCTATGGCAAATCTAGGCAGCATTCTAAAAAGCAGAGACATCACCCTGCCAACAAACAGTGCGTATAGTCCAGGCCATGGTTTTCCCAGCTGCAATGTATGGCTGTGAAAGTTGGACCATAAGAAAGGCTGAGCGTCAAAGAATTGAGGCCTTTGAACTATGGTGCTGGAGAAGACTCCTGCGAGTCCCTTGGACTGCAAGGCGTTCAAACCGGTCAGTCCTAGAAGAGATCAACCCCGACTGCTCTTTAGAAGGCCAGATCCTGAAGTTGAAACTCAAGTACTTTGGCCACCTAATGAGAAGGAAGGATTCACTGGAGAAGAGCCTAATGCTGGGAAAGATTGAGGGCAATAGAAGAAGGGGACGACAGAGAATGAGATGGCTGGATGGAGTCACTGAAGCAGTAGGTGTGAATTTAAATAGACTCCAGAAGATGGTAGAGGACAGGAAGACCTGGAGGAACATTGTCCATGGGGTCGCGACGGGTCGGACACGACTTCGCAATTAACAACAACAACAACAATTACTTCTAATTTTTTTTTAAAAAAATATCAGTGCATTATAGCATGGCAAACCCCGGCCTTGAACTGGTGCAAAAGATCTGAATCAGGAAGCAAAGAAAAGCCACGGAAAGCAATTTCCAGGAATACTTAAGTACAATATAGATAAAAACTTAAATGTTTTCGCTGACTCAAACTCTAGGTCTGGAGAGACCGGGAACGTATTAATTCACCCGTTTAAAACCCTTATTCTCTATCACACTCGGCCAATTGTACTTAAGTGTTCACTACAATACTTAAATGTACACTGAGAACATATGAAGGCTTTAGAGATCGAGGAAAAGCAATAATCGGTAACAATGCTAGTAGCCACGGTTTCGGCTGCCAAAAGTCTGGGTTTAGCAATTCAACATTTTCTCTGCCGATCTTTTTAGTGCCGCTTTGGGATTTCAGGGTTTACTGATCTAAAATCTATTGATCTATTGACTCCTAACACTCTGGAGACATTCCTGGGTCTTGTTATTCTGTTTAAACAAGAAAACAAGTGTTATAAATCCTGCTGTGCTGTGCGGAGGACTGTTCTATCCCATTAGCTCAGTGTTTCTCAACCTTGACAATTTTAAGGCATTGCTGGCTGTGGAATTCTGGGAGTTGAAGTCCACATGCCTTAAAATTATCAAGGTTGAGAAACACTGCACTAGCTTAAAACATCTTCTTCCTTGCTCCAAGTGAGGCCCCTGGGTCCTGAAAAACTGCCCTAAACAGAAATATGTAATTAATTTCTTCATTTTAACGGATTACGGAGCTTCAGGGGGAAAAATTTGCTGTCATATCCTCTCTCTCTCTTTCCCTCCCTCCCCCTCTCCCTCTCTCTCTTTCCACCTTCTCATTCTCTCTCTCTCTCTCTCTGCTGACTTGCTGTCTCTTATCTCCCCCCCCCCATCTTCCTTAGTTTTCTACCTTTCCCTCCTTTTTTATCTCTCCTGACCGGTCCCCTTTTCTGGTCTCCTTTTTTTCTTGCAGGTCATCTCTTCATCCCTTTCTCTACAAGCGCACCAGCTGGAAGGCTTGGTTGATAGCTCAGTTTCATTCCCATTTGCAGTCCTTCTCAAGGAGAGCCTGATTCCCTTTATTCCGGGTTCCCCCCTTATATCTATATTCTCTTACGTTCCCCATCACCTCATTTCATCTATTCCACTACATTTCCTCCTGATTCTTCCTCTTCCCTTGCGAACCCTTTTGGTTCTCCCTGTTTCCCTTCTTCTATACTTCCTAGACAGGATTTTGATCATTTGCTCTCTTTTGATCCCTTTCGCTTTGTGTTTCCTTTCCTTTCCTTCAATCTCTCGTAGAGTACTTATTTTCCCCATTTCCTTGTCTAGTGCATCTACAATCCTACCCATTTTTCTTATCTTTCTGTATTGTTTTTCTTCCCATCAACCCAATATCCCTCTAATCCAGTGGTTCTTAAGCTGTTTGACCCAATTAACCTAGTTTCCAATAATCGTATTACAACCAGAATCTTCTTTTGCAAGCACCTCGGCAACCATAGCCCTAAACTGAATCCTCGAATCACAAATGACCAATTACAAATTTATCCATCACCCCCAGAATATGCCCCAATTACCCCAGTTTAAGAACCACTGTTCTAATCCTTAGGGTAAGGCTTTGATTCCATGCTTAGGGCTGCCATTTTGACTTTTTTGACCTTCTATGGCATATCCCCCTGCTTCTAACTGCAACTATTTCTTAATCCTGGCTTTCCCGTCGTTTACCTCCTCAGGAATCTTTGAACCTGCAGACTCGGCTGCTGGAGCCAATGTTCCCAGATCCTCTGAGCATGCCTGATTTCCTGCCACGACTTCTGGCCCAGTGCGTGCTGCTGGAGGGAGTCCGGGCTGAGGGATCCTGTGTTTCTGGCACCATCCGTGTGATCAACTTGGCCTACGAGAAAAGGGTCTCTGTGCGATACACTTGGGACTTTTGGGCTACCGAACACGACGCTCGGGCTTCTTACGCCGCCTCTGCAGGGCGGGACCGGGACCACGCTGACCGCTTTGCCTTCCGCCTGCCGCTGCCCGTTCCGCTCTCTGCAGGGATGGTGCTCGAGTTTGCCCTCTGCTATCTGGTGGGAGGGAAGGAATTCTGGGACAACAACCAGGGACGCAACTACTCTCTGCGGCCGCCTCCTTGCGTGGCTGAAGAAGACGAACTCCCCAGCCCCATTCAAGATTGCTGTGAAACTGGCTGGATACACTTTCTGTAGAGAAGACGAGGAGACATGTTGAAACTGAAGTTGGATGGGGAAAATGAACAATCCAGGTTGAAATCCGAAGATACGCAGGCATGCGGGCACACAGCTACAAACACCCCAGAATTGATTCCGGCAATTGGATTTGCTTCCTTTTTCCCAGCATGCTTTTCACCAAGCCCACATTCATGGCTTATAGCTTTTGCGATCTCCGACAGTGCATGCCCACAACCCCTGAAAAATGGCCACCGTCTTGCAAGGAGGGCCACTCTTTGTTTAGACTTGCTGACAATCCAGATCCAGTCCACCATGTCGATGTTGAGCGGGGAAGTCACCCTATGGGGGGGGGTCTCCTTCAAGTTAGAAAAGATCAAGGGCAGAAATGTCCATGAGGGAAGGATTAAAAAAAAAAAAAAGTCAAAATGCTAGCCACAACGATGTCATCAAAGATCTGAGTTCTACTCTCCCATCCTATAACCTAACATTGATAGCCTGGAGATTTTGGAGAGAAAGGGATCAAAGTAAAAGAGAATAACAGAAGAGCAACAAAGATGATTAAGGGCTGGAGGCTAAAGCGTATGAAGAACGGTTGCAGGAATTGGGTAGGGTGCATCTAGTTTAATGAAAAGAAGGACTAGGGGTGACAGGATGGCCGTCTTCCAATATTTGATGGGCTGCCCCAAAGAAGAGGGGAGTCAAGCTCTTCTCCAAAGCACCTGAAGGCAGAACAAGAAGCAACGGATGGAGACTCATCAAGGAGAGAAGCAACCTGGAACTAAAGGAGAGATTTCCTGACAGTGAGAACAATTAAGCAATGGAACAACTTTCCTCCAGAAGTTGTTGGTGCTCCATCACTGGAGGCTTTTAAGAAGAGACTAGACAACCATTTGTCTAAACTGGTATAGGGTCTCCTGCCTGAGCAGGGGGTTGGACTAGAAGACCTCCAGGGTTCCTTCCAACTCTCTTATTCTGTTCTGTTCAAATGCCCAGCTTGTACTGCTAGGCCATTGAGTCCTCTATCTTCCAGATACTTCCCTTTATGAATGAGAAGTTTGGGAAAAAAGAGAGAGATCTGTATCTAGATGAATGAAGAACAGAGATTTTCTTCAATTTCCTGTTTTCCTTGCCTTGGGGTGTTAGTCTGGATCGCCACCCCAAGGGGTTCTTGCACATGTTGTTTCTTCATTTTTCTGCATGAATGAATGTATCAACACTTCTCTTTGCATCCCATTTTACTTCTATGCTGGCTGGTTAAAGAAAAAAAAACAACAATCACACTTGTTATTCCTGATCGGGTATTTCTTACTATTTTACCGTGCATCATGGTCTCTGACCCATCTTAATGTTTTTTAGACCCAGTAAAACAGGGCTTTTCAACCAGTGGTACGGGTACCACCTGTGGTACATTGGCACCTGGCAGGTGGTACGTGAGCATCCTAGAAAAGTCGTAGCGGGGGAGAGGAATGAGCTGAACCGGTGGCAGCACCGCACAAGCCTGAGCGAGAGACGGCTGGAGCTGCAGGGCTGTCAGGGCTCAGCGGAAGCGCCAGGATCAGTGCCGCTTTCCAGCTGATCGGCGCTTCTTCAGGACTGTCAGGGCTCAGCGGAAGCACCAGGATCAGTGCCAGGGTCCAGCTGGAGCTCAGTGCTGATTCTGGCACTTCTGCTGAGCCCAGAAGTGCCAATCAGCTGGAATGTTGCAGCCTCTCCAGGGTCTTGGGATTTACATTCAGATGCTTGGCAACCGATTCATATTTATGACGGTCACAGTGTCCCAGGGTCATGGGAAGTGACCAAAACCTGCTGCAACCACCCAGCAGACGGGGGGGGGGGAATAAAAACCAAACACCCCCCCCACCCCACCTCCGCTGCCAATCCCCAACAGAAATGCTCACAAGAATGAAAACTTCGGACAGGAGGAAGAGCGCCGCTGGGTGGGCAGGCAGGCGTCTTGCTCGGCTGTGGCTTGGGGGGGCACTATTTTCAGTGCCATTGTAACTTCAAACAGTCACTAAGCGAACTGTTGTAAGTCGAGGACTACCTGTATTTTATCACTTTTTTCCTTTTTTTTTTTTGGTCATCAAGTTTTTGACACCTTGCTAGGCGACTGGTGGTACTCGGATATTGCCATATCCTAAAAGTGATACAGTGGGTGAAAAGATTGAAAAGCCCTGCAGTAAATGTCTAGAAATGTTATTGTAGAAATGGCAGGCCGTGTTTTAGCATAAGCTGCAGATTGGTGTATTTATGGCGGGGGGGGGAAACCCTTAACGTTTTAATCACTTCTTTGCTTAATGGATTTCTAAGTTCTTTTCCAACACAATACTAAAAAAAAAAAAACACCTTAATAATGTCTGAACAGCGCTGACACAATAGCGGATGATGGTTGGTATTGGTATTTCCCAGGATTTTGCAACATGGACAATTCAGTTCCCAGAATTCTCAGCAATGGCCAAAGTGGCGAGGGGATTCTGGGATTTAAAATCCGAGGTGCCGTTTCTGGAACAAGTAGTTGGATCCAACGGGTGTTCAGAAGAACCTTAGGTTTTATAACACTTCCTCCAGGTCAGTGTTTCTGAAGCTCGGGAACTTTTAAGATGTGTAGACTTCAACTCCCAGAATTCTCTAACTGGCACAGCCAGCTGAGGAATTCTGGGAGTTGAAGTCCACACCACTTAAAAGTTGATGAAATTGAGAAATTCCGTTCCAAGTTCTGCTGCGTTTTTTCTCTAAGCTGATCTCCTTGGTTCTGTAAGTGGAAGAGTTAGAAATAAGATGGGGGATCTTTCCTGGGGTGGGGGCACTATTTGGAATTCTAGGAACCCCATTATTGGTCCTGCCACCCATGATCACGTGCCCTTGCCTGGCTGGCGCCCCAAAGACCCAATTATTGAAAACATCCCAAGTATTTATCGGGCTATATAAAACCAATAATCAGCCCAATTGTTTAATTACTGGCGTTATCTGTGTGTCTGATTGAGTGGTGAATTTAAAGCAGAGATTGGGATGGATCTGTTTCTGCTAGATACCAAACAAACTTACATTCATTCATTCATGTTAATAACCGGACAAGCCGGGGGGGGGGGGAGAAATGAATCATCTCTCAAAATAAACACGGAAGGAAAACCCAGAGATACTTAATTCACCATTTATGCTCAGGAAGTATACATTTGGGCCTAAAGATCTGCAGTTCTTTGAATCCAGGGAATCCTGGGGAGGGGAATGGGAGGGGGAGGCTGGAGGAAAAGTGGGGTTTTCAAGATAGACACCCCCCCCCCAATGGGAGATCTTGGCTTGCCCAACACAACAGCATTGTTGTTGTTATCCTCTTGTGCAGTGGTTCTCAACCTGTGGGTCGGGACCCCATTTGGGGTCGAAGGACCATTTCACGGGGGTCGCCAAACAACGCAGTCCGCCATTTTTTTCTCCTTTTCCTTAGCTGGGCTACTCCCTTTTATTCTATTGGCTTTGGAAAGCCAATAGAATAGACTCTCTTGAATAGAGTCTAATTCTATTGGCTTTCAAAAGCCAAGAGGAATTGTCCAGGCTGTCTCTGCCCTGCTGAGCCCGCCAAAAGTCCCATTCTGCAAACGGTGCTGTACCAGTTGAGTAGTCCTCGACTTATGACTGCTTGAGTAGTCCTCGACTTACGACCGGTTGGGGGGTCGCGGCATTAAAAAGGTTGAGAACCACTGCTCTTGTGCAAAGAGCTTAATAGGGAGGCTTTGTTGAAGGGCAAAGTGTTTGCCTTATCAGATGGGTAACAGATAAGATAAGAAATGGGGAAACAAAGGAGGATGCAGCTGGGAGAAGGAAGAGAGGAAGAGGAAGGAGGGAAGAAAGGAGAGGAAAAAGGGAGGGAGAGGAATGGGGAGGAAGAGAAAGGAAGGGAAAGGGGGGGTGGAAGAGGAAGTAAGGAGGGAGAGAAGGAAGGGGAGAAAAAGGGGGGAGAGATAAGGGAGGGAGGGAGGGGAATGGAGAGGAAGAGAAGGTAGGTAGGAAAGAGGGAGGGTGGAAGAGGAAGGAGGGAAGGAATAAAGGGAAGGAAGGAAAAAAAGGGGAGGGAGGGAATATGGGAGGGAGGAGGGAAGGGAGGGAGAGAAAGAAAAGGAAGGGAGGGAGGGGAATGGGGAGGAGGAAAAGATAGGAAGGAAGGAAAGAGGGTGGAAGAGGAAGGAAGCAAGGAAAGGAAGGAAGGAAGAAGGGAGGGAAAGAGGGAGGGAGGGAGAGGAAGGAAGGAAGGAAGGAATGAGAGAGGGGGGAGAGGAGGGAAAGGGGAGGGAGGGAAGAAAAGATGGGAGGGTGGAAGAGGAAAGAAGGAAAGGAAGGAAGGAGAAAAGGGAGGGAGAGAATATGGGAGGGAGAGAGGGAAGGAGGGAGAGGAAGGAAGGAAGGAGAGAGGGAGGGAGGGAGGGGGGAGGGAAAGGGGAAAGAGGGAAGAAAAGATGGGAGGGTGGAAGAGGAAAGAAGGAAAGGAAGGAAGGAGAAAAGGAGGGAGAGAATATGGGAGGGAAAGAGGGAGGGAGGGAGAGGAAGGAAGAGAGGGAGGGAGAGGAGGGAAAAGGGAGGGAGGGAAGGAGGGAAGAAAAGATGGGAGGGTGGAAGAGGAAAGAAGGAAAGGAAGGAAGGAGAAAAGGAGGGAGGGAATATGGGAGGGAGAGAGGGAGGGAGGGAGAGGAAGGAAGGAGAGAGGGAGGGAGGAGGGAAAGGGGAGGGAGGGAAGAAAAGATGGGAGGGTGGAAGAGGAAAGAAGAAAGGAAGGAAGGAAGGAAGGAGAAAAGGGAGGGAGGGAATATGGGAGGGAGAGAGGGAAGGAGGGAGAGGAAAGAAGGGAGGGAGAGAAGAAAGGAAGATGGGAGGGAGGGAAGCAAGGAAGGAAGGGAGAGAAAAAAAGGGAGGGGGAGAGAAAGAAGGGAAGGAAGCCCCCCCCCAAATCGCGACTTGCCTAAAGAGAAGCCGGGAGGAGCCCCCCCCGCAACCTGCCCCTTCCTCCTGGCTGCCCCGAAAAGGTCGTCCGCATTTGGGGGTGGGGGTGGGGGGAAAGGAGGCCCGATCTCCCACCGACTATCCCCCGCCTTCCCATCCCGCGCGCGCCCCCCCTTCTCCCCTCCTCTTCCTCCTCCTCCTCCTAGAGAAAACGGGGGGGGGGCGACCCAGCTTCGGCCCTTCCCCCGCCCCGAAAGACGGCCGCCGAGTCTCCGCTTGCCCAGGTAACTCCCTCCGCGCTTCAGCCGCTTTTTCTTCCTCTTGGGGGGGCCAAAAAAAAAACAACACCTTCCCTTCCCGAAGGGAGAACCAACGGCGGCGGGGGTGGGGGGGTGGGGAAATAGGATCCCAGCTCTTTACAACTCAGAACCCCCCCCTCAAAAAATATTTCAGCCAGCTAAATCCAGTAGTAGATTTTTTTTTTCCCGGAGGGGGTCTTTTCCCAGTCTTGTAGAGGGAGGGGGGGTCCCTCTCCCCCTCCCTCTTCATCCACCACCCCCCCTCCAGGTTTGCAGAATTTGGTGCGGGGGGGGGAGTCCTTGTGCGTCACCCCACATCCCTCCTGACCCCCCCCCTGCAAAAAAATCCGGGTTTGTAAAGGCCAGGTGTGGAAAGGAAAGGAGGAACAGAAGAAGAAGGGAAAAAAAGTGGGGGGGGGGAGAGGAAAACTAAGGAAACTTTCAAAGAAAGGAGGTTAGGAAATGGGAACCGCAGAGGGATCGACCGACCGGCTGAAAAAGCACATTTTACTGCACAGCGTTGCAGTGTGCCATTGTGTGTACACGGTGTTGCGGGGTGTTGTTACTGAGGAGAAGGATGTGGCTGTTCAGACTCCTACTCAGGGAATCTTTCCTCCCTGGGCCAGAGAAAAGAAAGAAAGAGAGAGAGTGAGTGAGTGAGAGAGAGAGAGAGAGAGAGAAACAAAGAAAGAGGGAGGAAAGAGAAAGAAGGAAGGAAAGAAAAAGAAAAAGGGAAGAAAGGAAGGAAGGAAGGAAAGAGAAAGAAAGAAAGAAAGAAAGAAAGAAAAAAGAGAAAGAAAAAGGAGGGAGGGAAGGAGGAAAGAGAAAGAAGGAAAGAAAAAGAAAAAGGGAAGGAAGAAAGGAAGGAAAATGAAAGAAAGAAGAAAAGAAAGAAAGGGAAAGAAAAGGAAGGAAGGAAAGGAGAGAGAAAAAGAGGGAAGGAAGAAAGAGAAGAAAAGAAGGGAAAGAAAAAAGAAGGAAGGAAGGAAAGGAAGGAAGAAAGAAAAAGGGAAGGAAAGGAAAGGAAGAAAGCAAGAAAGAAAGAGGAAGGAAGGAAAGGAAGGAGAGAAAAAGAGGGAGGGAAGGAAAGAGAAAGAAAGATAGAAAGAAAGAAATACTTTTCTTTGGCCAAGTGTAATTACACACACAATTTATCTCCAGTGCAGAAGCTCTCAAACTACATGCCAAGCAGCGGAATAATAATAATAATAATAATCATAATAATGATACCAATAAGAGAAGGTAGTAGAAAAAGTCGAGAAGGATAATAGTAATACAGCCCTACTATCTGGGTAAATATACTTAGACATGAGACAATACTGAGGGAATTGCTGAGCAGAGTGATGGGCTGAGGGAGAAAACTGTCACTGTGTCAGGAAAAAAGGAAGGAAGGAAGGAAGGAAGGAAGGAAGGAAGGAAGGAGGGAGGGAGGGAAAAAGAGGAAGGAAGGAAGGAAGGAAGGAAGGAAGGAAGGAAGGAAGGAAGGAAGGAAGGAAAAAAACTCCCGTTTTACATACAATAAAGCATGCTTTTCCAACTTTACCCATTTTAAAGATGTGCAGACTTCAACTCCCAGAATTCCCCAGCCAGCAGACATCCCATGCTGGCTGAGGGATTCTGGGAGTTGAAGTCCACCCGTCTTAAAGCAGGCCAAGTCGGGAAACTTGCCATAGAGAGGAATGTCCTCCGATTAGCAAAAGGATGAACTTTAAATCCTGCATCTCTGTGCTCTTAAGAGAGGGGAAGAGTTGGCAGGCACGGCGACCGCTGAGCATGTAATGTTCAGGTAGTCCTCGGCTTACAACCCTTCATTTAGTGACCGTTCAAGGTTACAAGGCCACTGAAAAAAGAGATTGATGCCCGTTTTTCACACTCAACGATCATCGCAGCATCCCTGAGATCATGTGATTAAAATGCAGACGCTGAGCAACGGATTCCTATTTATGACGGTCGCAGGGTCCCTGGGTCAGGTGATCCCCTTTTGCGACCTTCTGACAAGCAAAGTCAACCGGGGGGGGGGGGAAGCTGGATTCGGTTTACAACCAGGTTACTAACTTAACATCTGTGGCAAAACAACTGCAGCTGGCAAAAAAGCCAACACAGTGCTGGGCTGCATTAACAGAGGGATAGAATCAAGATCAGGTGAAGGATTAATACCACTTTACAAGGCCTTGGTAAGGCCACACTTGGAATACAGCGTCCAGTTTTGGTCGCCACGATGTAAAAAAGATGCTGAGACTCTAGAAAGAGTACAGAGAAGAGCAACAAAGATGATCAGGGGACTGGAGGCTAAAACATATAAGAAATGGTTGCTGGAATTGGGGATGTCTAGTTTAACGAAGAGGAGGGGGACATGATAGCAGTGTTCCAGTATCTCAGGGGCTGCCACAAAGAAGAGGGAGTCAAGCTATTCTCCAAAGCACCTGAAGGCAGGACAAGAAGCAACGGATGGAAACTGATCAAGGAGAGAAGCAACCTAGAATTAAGGAGAAACTTCCTGACAGTTAGAACAATTAACCAATGGAACAACCTGCCTCCAGAAACGGTGAATGCTCCAATACTAAGTTTTTAAGAAGAAACTGGACAGCCATTTGTCCGAAATGGTGTAGGCTTTCCTGCCTGAGCAGGGGGTTGGACTAGATGACCTCCAAGGTCCTTTCCAACTTTATCATTATTATTATTATAAAAAAGATCGTAAAATGGGGCTAAGCTTGCACAACCAAGTTGTCTCCCTGAGCAACAGAAATTTGGGCTGAACTGTGGTTCAAGTCAAGGACTTCCTGTACTCTTAATATATATTGGTCCTCTTCCAGGTACAGCTGGCAGCCATGGGCTGGTGGCCGATTCTGCTTTTCGTGGCAGCCACGTGGGCTGTGGGGGTCCAGGCTAAGGGGTGCAATAAAGCCCTTTGTGCTAGCGATGTCAGCAAGTGTTTGCTGCAGGTAAGGGGCTGCGAAAAGCCGTAATCTGGGTACAAACGTTCAGTGGGTCGGACTAGAACAGGGGTCCCCAACCTATGGGCTGCGGCCCACATGTACGTACACTTGCCCTCGCTCACGTTAGCACCCACGGACCCATTCGCACAGGTGTGCAGGCTAGCAAACAGGACCACTAGCGCACCTGCGGGTTGCACAACCCATTTGCGTGTGGGCTTGGGGCTAGCAGCAGTGGCTAGCGCCTGCGCGCCTGTGCGCCTGTGCGAACAGGGACCGCTAGCACTGTGTGGGTTTCGCAGCCTGATAGAGCATGCACGTGGGACTGGCAGCGGCGGCTAGCGTCTGCACACCTACGCAAATGGGGCCCCTAGTGCTGTGTGGGTGTGCGCGGCCCCGTTTCTGCGCAAATTTCCCAGCTGCTCCCTTTCTCTCCTGGCCGCCAGCATGAAAACGTTGGCGACCTCTGGGCTAGAAGACGCCTAAGGCCCTTTCCAGCTCTCTTATTCTATTCTTCCCAAACTAAGAACAAAGGAGGTTTGGGAAAGAAAGGAGTCATCATTATCGTTCCTTCGTAAATTTGCTATCTCCAGACATCCAAAGCCCCTAGAGCAGGGGCGTCAAACTCAATTTCACTGAGGGCCGCATCAGCATTGCTGTTGTCTGGGCGGGGTAGGTGTGGCCAGAGTGGGCGTGGCCTACTGGATGGGCATGGCTGGAGTGGGTGTGGCCTACTAGGTGGGCATAGCTAGTTCTACATCGTTCGCGTCAAGGGTGCCTGTGGGGGCCTGGGCAAGAGTGGGACAGATCCGAGGGTCTCTGGCAGAAGGGGGTGGGACCGGGGCAAGCGCCAAGGCATGGTGCATTTCTTCATTCCTCACAAAGGGCGACACCTCCCCAGCATGCACCCAGAAGCCGGGGCCGATGCGGCAGGGGCTGGTTCCTCGCTGTTTCCAGACGGCCTTGTGGAGCTAAGACTGAATGCGTTTCAGCAAAGATGGCCACCACAAAATTGTACATTGGCTCCCGGCCGGCCTGGGCCAGGGCCAAGGCAGAGGGGGCTGTTCCCTCACTGTTTCCAGGATGGCTTCGCGGGCCACATGAAACCACGTCGTGGGCCGCATCTGGCCCCCGGGCCTTGTGTTTGACATGTCTGCTCTAGAGACAAAGAGGATGTAGTACAAGGAGTCCTTGATTAACAGCCGTTCGTTTAGTGACGGTTCAAAGTTAAAACGGCACTGGAAAAAAAAATGACTCCTGACCGTTTTTCCACACTTAACGATCGTTGCATCCTTATGGTCACTTGATCAAAATTGGGACACGGTGATCAACACCCGCAGCACCCACGCACATGTGCAAAAGGGTCACTGGTGCCTGCGTGCATGGGCAAACAGGCCGCTAGCCCCCATGTGATGCTGGTGACGGTGCTACCGCACCTGCGCATGGACAAACAGGGTTGCTAGTGCCCACGTGGTAGCATTATGGGGGGGCTTGCCAGGTATTCCCATAGCTTGGTGGCCAACAAGCCACACCCTGGTACCGGGTGTCCCCAGTCTTTTGGGCACCAGGGACCGGTTCCATGGAGAGAGGTTTTTCCATGGACCGGAGGGTGCGTGGTTTTATGTGGTGCCCACATCCCGCAGATGGGGCTTTGCTTGTTTGTGCGGACCGGTTGTTGGCATGCTGCGGCCCAGTACCGGTCCACAGACCCGGGGTTGGGGATCTCTGTTCTAGAAGATTTCCAAAGTCCCTTCCAACTCCGTTGTTCTATTCTCTCGGCAGGAAATGTGCCAGTGCAAATCCAACCGTACTCGGTGCTGTCGGGAATGTGCATTCTGCCTGGCTAAGCTGTGGGAACCGTGCTGCGATTGTGTAGGTGAGATTATTTGCCCGCTGGGTCAAAAGGGCCAAGATTTTCACGAGGTGGGTGCAGGAATTGGGGGGAGGGGGTCTTCCTACCCTCTTTTTTGAAATGTCCAGCCTTCTTTGCGATGGGTCTGGATTCCCCAGCATCCTCAGCTGGGGAAAAAAATCTACGTAAATCTTCGACTTATGGCCACCACGGAGCCCCGAATTTCCGTCACTAAGCGGAGTCAGCGATGAAGTGGTGTTTTGGCCCGGTTTTACGACCTTTCTCGCCACGGTCGCTAAGCGAATTGCTGCAGTTGTCACATTAGGAGCACGGTTGCGAAGTGAGCTTGGATTCCCCCTTGATTTTGCTTGTCGCAAAAGGGGAACACGTGAGCCCGGGACATTGCAACCGTCGTAAGTACGAGCCAGTTGCCAAGCGTCTGAATTTTGATCACGTGATTCATGGGGGACGCTGCACTTAACACTTAACAACCAGTCTTGTTTAACAACGGAAGTTGTGGTGGCAAGTCAAGTACCCTGTAAGGATCCACCCCACTTTGCATCTTAAGAAGACAGAACTCTTGGAATAATTCTTCCAACAGGAATCCTTTATTAAGAAAAAGTGGTTGCAGGCGTGCTAGACAGCACTTGGGGTTCAAGCTCTCCCATTCGAGGTTTTAAGGGGTTCCCCAGTAGTCCCACCCAATCACCCCCCTCTTCCAGTGACAGTTTCAGGCATTACAATCCCACCCCTTTTTTCCCTTCTTTCCGCTGGATGGAAACTACATGAAAGGTAAATAGCCTCCTTTGTTATGATAAGGCCTTTTGGTGCTAACCACATTCAAACCGTTTGAAGTTGTACCAAAGGAAGTGAGGGCCATAAAGCCCCTTTGTTCACCCCCCCCCTCTCTTTCTTTGTGACAGAATCCAGAGAGGGCAGAAATGGGGTTTTCTATAATTGATAACTGGAGATGAAGTATAATTGGATTCTGACACACCCCCTGTAATTACAGTGGCCCTTGTGGTCTCCTTGTTGTTGTCCCCATCTCAAGGTCTGTGTGATGAACATGTCTCGTCCGCTCCCCACCCTGCCCAGCGAAGCTCCATGCACGACTTGGTGTCTCCGGTACCATCCCTTTTCCGGGCGCTCCTGGCTCTCTCCAACAATCACCCTGCTCTAGGCTGGAGCATCACAACTCTGCCATTAGACGAGGAACTGCGGCAAAACCATGTGGACACTGGACATCTTCTGTTGGGACCACATACAGGTAAGCCCGAGTGGGAGGGCCGTACGGGATAACACAGTTGGAAGGGACCTTGAAGGTCTTCTAGTCCAGGGGTCCCCAACCTGTGGGCCGCGGCCCATTACTGGACCGTGGCCTCTTGGCCACCGTGCCGCATGCACTCACCCCCCACATTCACACTAGCGCCGCTGCGAGTGTCCCTCAACGTTAGCGCAGCCCAGCCCCAAGCATCCCTCCGGCACTAGCGCCGCGCCGAGCATCCCGCCAATGCTAGCACCGCCCCATTTGCGGCACTCGCCCAGTTTGCACATGTGCATGCGTTCACTCACGGCTCATTTTTGCACGCGCATGCACTCAAACGCAGTCCATTGGTGCAGGCGTGCATACACCTGCGTAATAGTGCTTGTCTCCTTTTCCAGGCCACCAAACCAAAAAGGTTGGGGACCTCCTAGTTCAGGGGTCTTCAAACTCGGCCCTTTTATGACTCATGGACTTCAACTCCCAGAATTCCTCAGCCAGCGTGCCTGGCTGAGGAATTCTGGGAGTTAAAGTCCATGAGTCATAAAAGGGCCGAGTCTGAAGGCCCCTGTTCTAGTTCAACCCCCAGCTCAGGCAGGAGACCCTATACTAGTGGTTCTCAACCTGTGGGTCGGGACCCCATTTGGGGTCGAACGACCATTTCACGGGGGTCACCAAACAATGCAGTCCGCCATTTTTCCCCCCTTTTCCTTAGCTGTGCTACTCCCTTTTATTCTATTGGCTTTTGAAAGCCAATAGAATGGACTCTCTTGAATAGAGTCTAATTCTATTGGCTTTCCAAAGCCCATAGGAATTGTCCAGGCTGTCTCTGCCCTGCTGAGCCCGCCAAAAGTCCCATTCTGCAAACGGTGCTGCACCAGTTGAGTAGTCCTCGACTTACGACCGGTTGGGGGTCGCGGCATTAAAAAGGTTGAGAACCATTGCCCTATACCATTTCAGACCAATGGCTGTCCAATCTCTTCTTTAAAATCTCCAATGATGGAGCACCCATAATTTCTGGAGGCAAGTAGTTCCATTGGTTAATTGTTCTCACTGACAGGAAATTCCTCCTTAGTTCTAGGTCGTTTCTCTCCTTGATTAGTTTCCATCCGTTGCTTCTTGTCCTGCCTTCAGGCGCTTTGGAGAACAGGTTGACCCCCTCCTCTTCTTTGTGGCGGCCTGTCAAATACTGGAAGATGCTATCACGTCAGCCCTGCTCCTTGTCTTCTTAAACTAGACATATCCAATAAATTGCTTCATATGTTTTAGCCTCCAGCCCCCTGATCATTTTTGGTGCGCTTCTCTGCAGTCTTTCTAGTCTCAGTATCTTTTTTTATTTATATCGTGCGGACCAAAATTAAGAAGAAATCTCCGGAGAGAACAATTAACCAGCGGAACCACCTACAGAAGCTGTGGGTGCTCCATCACTGGAGGTTTTTAAGAAGAGACTGGACAACCATTTGTCTAAAATGGTGTAAGGTCTCCTGCTTGAGTAGGGGGTTGGACTAGAAGACCTCCAAGGTCCCTTCCAATGCCTGCGTTCCTGTTATCGACTTTTCTCCTTCTCGTTGGCAGACCTGGCAGCCCCAGATGCTGACAGGAGCCCCAATGCGACGATGCCAGCTTGCCAGTCCATTTACTTCAACGACTGCCTGTCCATGAGCCGCTGCCGCGCGGCCTGTCAGTCGGTGGGCGCCTGGCGCTACCGCTGGTTTCACAGCGCCTGTTGCCAATGCTTGGGGCCGGACTGCCAGGGCTATGGAGGTGCCCACGCCAATTGTTCCAACTGCCAGGATTGAGCGGAGAGGCTTTCTTCTTCCTTGGCGCACCCAGCGTTGAATCGCCTACACTTTTCTACACGGCTCCTTGCAAACCGCATGCAACTTTTATCGCTTTCTCTTCCACGCCCAAATATTTTCAGCAGCGAGAACGAGTTTATGGACTCTTAGACCCCAGCCCAGTCTTTCCCTCTGCAGTTGGGGGGGGGGTCTGTCCTGGGACCTCATCTTGGACATTTTTCCTTCCTTTCTTCCCCTCCCACCTCCCAGTTTTTCTGAAATCAGCGGACATCAGCCCTGTGCACGAATCCTCAAATCCCTCCTTTTAATGATATCTTTGTAGCCTTTTGTAGTAATAAAAAGAATGGGGGGAAACAGCCTTGCCTGAAAGTATTAGAGGCACAAAATTGGCATCTTGACTTTTTTGACTTCCTCACACAGAGCTCGAAGCTAATGGAGGAACAGGAGACAATGAGTGAAAGCTACTAGGTGTATGTGTTGTATGGATGCGTTTGCCGATAAATTGTTTCCTCTGGATTTATTCTAACAATGGCTTTAGAAACACTGACCTCTAGATCAGCGGTCTCCAAACCTGACAACTTTAAGACCGGTGGACTTCAGTTCCCAGAATTCCTCAGCCAGTCATGCTGGCTAGGGAATTCTGGGAGTTGAAGTCCACCAGTCTTCAAGGTCCTCAGCATGGCTGGCTGAGAAATTCTGGGAGTTAAAGTCCACCAGTCTTCCAGTTCCTCAGCGTGGCTGGCTAAGGAATTCTGGGAGTTGAAGTCCACCAGTCTTCCAGTTCCTCAGCGTGGCTGGCTGAGGAATTCTGGGAGTTGAAGTCCACCAGTTTTCAAATACCTCAGCGTGGCTGGCTGAGGAATTCTGGGAGTTGAAGTGCAGCAGTCTTCCAGTTCCTCAGCGTGGCTGGCTGAGGAATTCTGGGAGTTGAAGTCCACCAGTCTTCAAGTTCCTCAGCGTGGCTGGCTGAGGAATTCTGGGAGTTGAAGTCCACCAGTCTTCCAGTTGCCAGGTTTTGAGACCCCTGCTCTAGATCAATATTTCTCATATGCAGACTTCAACTCCCAGAATTCCTCAGCCAGCCTGCCCATTATGGTCCTAGGTCGAAATGGTCGCAAAACAGATCATCCATGTGACTGACCTGATTTTACATCCTTTTTGCAATGGTCATTAAGCGAACGCGACAGTCGTTAAGCAAGTATTGTTCACTATGGAGCGTTTTGCCCCAAGCCAGAAGTAAGATACTTGTGTTTGTCAAAAATGTCATAAAACACAGCAAAATGATTACGGCACACCACAAAGAGCTGTAAATGCAAGATGATTGCCAAATGCAGTGTGTGGTCCTCAATGGAACTGCATCTACATGGAGGGAAGTGTGTAGTGGGATGGCCCAGTGCTCTATTCTAGGCCCAGTGCTCTTCCACATCTTCATCAACGATTTGGACGAGGGGATAGATGGGGAACTCATCAAATTTGCGGATGACACCAAGCTGGCAGGAATAGCCAACACTCCAGAAGACAGGCTTAAGTTACAGGAGGATCTGGACAGACTCAAACATTGGGCACTATCTAACAAAATGAAATTCAATGGTGGAAAAAAGTAAGGTTCTACATTTAGGTAAGAAAAACCAAATGCACAGATATATAATATAGGTGGTACCTTGCTCAATAGTAGTAACTGCAAGGGATCTCGGAGTCCTAGTGGACAATCTCTTAAATAGGAGCCAGCCGTGTGCTGCAGCTGCCAAAAAAGCCAACACAGTCCTAGGCTGCATTAACAGAGGGATAGAATCAAGATCACATGAAGTGTTAATACCACTTTACAATGCCTTGATAAGGCCACACTTGGAATACTGCATCCAGTTTTGGTCACCACGATGTAAAAAAGCTGTTGAGACTATAGAAAGAGTGCAGAGAAGAGCAGCAAAGATGATCAGGGGACTGGAGACTGAAACATACAAGGAACATGCTGGAATTGGGTATGTCTAGTCCAATGAGGAGAAGGACCAGGGGTGACATGACAGCAGTGTTCCAGTATCTCAGGGGCTGCCCCAAAGAAGAGGGAGTCAAGCTATCCCCCAAAGCGCCTAAAATCAGGACAAGAAGCCACGGATGGAAACTAATCAAGGAGAAAAGCAACCTAGAACTAAGGAGAAATTTTCTGACAGTCAGAACAATTAATCAGTGGAACTACCTGCCTCCAGAAGCTGTGAATGCTCCAACACTGGAAATTTTTAAGAAGAGACTGGACAGCCATTTGTCTGAAATGGTATAGGATTTCCTACCTGAGCAGGGGATTGGACTAGATGACCTCCATTATCATTATTATTATCATTATATGCCCAACATGCACTCACATAACCAGACAGGCAGCCATTGGAACTGTTGCTAAGCGACAGGTCATGAGGACTACCTCCTTTGAATGAGCCTCCAGAACGGGTCTAAAATCCCTTCTTCATAAACCTCATTCGGAAAAAGGTGCAAGCCAAACCATTGTTAAGTGACAAGATATACAAGTTTATCTGCTGTTGAAATTGGTCAGCCATGGTTTATAGCTTCTTTTTTTTTCCCCCCTCCTGTTTTAGACTACCTGGACAAGTGAGTTTTCTTGGTTAAGATTTTTTTTTTCGAATGTGGTTTGCCCTTGCTTCCTTCTTAGGGCTGAGAGCAATTGACTGGCTGGCCCAAGATCACCCGGTTGGCTTTGTGCCCCTGATGCGATTCTAACTGGGGACTCCCAGTTTTTAGCTGACAATTTACCACTTTTACTGGTAGATGGCATCTGAAACCAACCATCGGGGTTTGCCTAGTAAACCATGGCTTAGACTTAGGAAGGGTGAGAATTTGCACCGAGGAGGAGGAGAAATCTGGCGTTCTCCGTTGTTAAAAGTTGCCCCGATGAAGCAAGAGAAGAGAAACACGAGCGCAGGCCCGGGTTCGTCTCTCCGAACCCGTTACTCGGATCCTCGCTTAACCCGGGGACCTATTGCAGGCCCGAAGCGGCGGGAACGGCCACGTTCTGACGACCCGCGAAACCCCCGAGTTCCCCAACCCGCCTTTAGCTTGGGCCCCGCGATCCTGGGAAGCCAGGCAGGGACTAGGGAAGGCGGCAGGCCACGCCGCCGCTTCCCCCCCCCTCAAGGCCCCGAACGTTCCGGAACGTGTGAAGCCACAATGAGCGGAGGGAGCCCTCTGAGCACGTGCAGAGCGCGGAACCGTCCGGAGCCTCCCCTGCCCGGCGCTCGGGGCTCTTCCAGCCAATGGCAGCCAGCCCAGCCTCTCCCGCGCCCCGGCAGCCAGCGCCCCCTCGCCAGGCGGAGAGCCGGAGCGCGGCCGAGCGGGTGAGTGGCCGGGGACGGGGCCCGGGCAGCCCAGCTTCTCCTCCGGCTCCGCTCCGCTCCTCTCCCGGCTTCCTTCTTTCCCCCTGCTCGGTTGCTAACAACGCCGGGGCAGAGACGCCTGGCCTACCCGCCCTTTGTTCCCCGGCGCTTCCTCTGCCCCGAAAGGGTCTCCCGAGGCGGAGAAGGAAGGGGACCGGCGGTGGGCGGCCGGGCTGGGCAGCCGCTCGGCGCCTGGCAGCGTCGCGGGCGGGGAGGCTGGAAAGGGAAGCTTGGAGAAAGTGGGCGAGCCCGGAGGCCGTGGAGCATGGGCCCTGGGGTTCAGAGCGGGGGGGGGGGTTGGAGGGTGCTAGTGGTGGACAAAGAGGCGGCAGGGGAGGAAGAGGAAGGGCAAGGCCGCGCGGATGGGCGGGGAGGCAGAGGCAGAGTTGAGCCCCCTCCCCCGCCGCTTCTCTTTTCGTGGTGGGGAGGAAGCGGTTTGGGGAAGGGGCTGCCGGTGGTCCCAAGTAGGGGAGCTGCGGGGCAGAGGAGGGTTTGCCCCGCAGACACGCGTGGTTATTATCATTATTATTAATAATAATAATAATATAATGAATTCAAACAGACAAGCACCTGCCACATAACACCCCAGACTTAACAATTGTCGATAAGAAAGACAAAAAGGTCTGGATAGTGGACGTGGCAGTGCCTGGAGACAGCAGAATAGACAAGAAAGAACTGGAGAAGATAACAAAATACAAAGACCTACAAATAGAAATAGAAAGACTGTGGCAAAAGCAAGCAAGGGTGGCACCAAAAGTTAATAGGCGCCTTGGGTGTAATCCCAAAACAACTGGAGCACCACTTGAACACCATCGGCATTGACAAATTTGCTATTAGTCAATTGCAAAAGGCGGCCTTATTAGGAACTGCTTCCATCCTGCGACGATATCTGTAATACCGTCGAACATCCACGTCTGCCTATCCCAGGTCCTGGGTAAGGACTCGATAGGTAGACAAAATGCCAAATCCAGTCTGAACATCTGGCTGACTGTGCGATGATCCATAATAATAATAATAATGATAATAAAGTTGGAAGGGACCTTGGAGGCCATCAAGTCCAACCCCCTGCTCAGGCAGGAAACCCTATACCTATACCCTATACCATTTCGGACAAATGGCTGCCACAGGTTCCCCTCTCTCTGGGACGGCCCTTGCAGCTGCTTCGAGTGACTGTTTTGGGATTGCAGTGCCCATCCTCACCGAGGACTAGTTCCTTAAGCGGCAAGTCCTGAGCAAAAGCCCATGCTGGTTTGTTTTAGCACAGTGGTTCTCAACCTTTTTAATGCCGCGACCCCCCCCAACCGGTCGTAAGTCGAGGACTACTCAACTGGTCGTAAGTCGAGGACTACTCAACTGGTGCAGCACCGTTTGCAGAATGGGACTTTTGACGGGCTCAGCAGGGCAGAGACAGCCTGGACAATTCCTATGGGCTTTGGAAAGCCAATAGAATTAGACTCTATTCAAGAGAGTCTATTCTATTGGCTTTCAAAAGCCAATAGAATCAAAGAGAGGAGCACAGCTAAGGAAAAGGGGGGGAAAAATGGCAGACTGCGTTGTTTGGCGACCCCCGTGAAATGCTCGTTCGACCCCAAATGGGGTCCCGACCCACAGGTTGAGAACCACTGGTTTAGCAGCATGCAGGATGGTGGTGGTGGTGATGGAGGAGGAGGACCCCGTCCCAAGAGGTGGCGTGGAGGGAAAGAGAAAGGAGAAAGGAAGGGATGGGTAGTAGCCACCTCTGGATTTGGGGGGGGGGGATATGAGTGAGCCAGAGGGTAGCTCTGCCCCACCCCAGAGAGGGGTGGGCTGGCATGGAGGCTGGGAGAGTAAAGCAAGAGATGGATGCAGCTGTTTAGGGGAGACCTTAATAAAGGGGGGAGCAGTTGAGAAGCAACCTTGGGACGCGCGCAGCCCAGCCTGCACAGCCGCTTTCTGGCTGTGCCACTTTTCTCCAAATTGCGTTCCCTCTTGAAAGAGCCTCGTACAATCTTACACTTGCTTGTCAAGAGGTCCGGTGCAGCACCTTGCGGTAAGGTAGTAGCATCTTTTCCCTTGCCAAGTGAGTAGCTACAACCTGCCACTGCGGACGGATGCTAGCATCCGTTTGGGAAAAGCGCCCGGCTTTGCACAGCGAGTACTGTCTGGCCTCCCGTTGTGTTTGTCTTGCCGGCTCCCCTGGGAAGCAGCTGCTGCACAGCTATTATCCCCATTTCACAGAAAGCCCTTTATGGCAGCCGGGGTGGGGGGGGGAGAGCATGGGAGGCTAGAAAGAGTGCGATTGGCACCAAGAGGCAAACAAAGGTCTGTCGGTTAAACTGTGGACGTTTCCATCAAACTCACAATCTCGGTTTATTCGGCTCCGCTTTTCTAAACTTTCCCATGAAAAAGGCAGAAGCCGGCTTTTGCATCCTTTAGGACAGTGTTTCCCAAACTTGACAATTTTAAGGCATGAGGACTTCAACTCCCAGAATTCCACAGCCAGCAACGCTGGCTGTGGAATTCTGGGAGTTGAAGTCCACATGCCTTAAAATTGTCAAGTTTGGGAAACACTGCTTTAGGAGGCGCATTTCAGTTTTAAATTAGGCTTTCTTTTTTTTTCCTTTTAAAGAGGATTTTAAGGAAGGCGAACTGGAGAAGCAAAAGATGAAGGAGGAGGAGGGGGAAAAAAATAAAGCCAGAGGCAACTTAGAAAAACCCTGGTGGAAAAGAAAACATTAGGACCCCCCCCCCATTTAGGTCCCTAGCAGCCCCCCCCCCTTAAAGGGCCAGTTTCCCTTGGCGTGACAAACTCCGCCTTCTGTTTCCCAGCGTGCCTTGCAGGGAATAGGAAAGACAAGGAAGGAAGGAAACTCCTGAGATGGGAGGGGAAAAAAAAGTAAGTACAACATCCAGAATTCAGTGAAGGGGTTTTAAGACAGGGGTGAGAGGCGAGGCGGGAAGGGAAGGCCGCTGAAGAAGTCTTGGAGTAGGGGGACCCACAAACAAAGGGGTAGTGAGGACGTTTTGGGGACACGAGGCTGGAAAAGGAGAGGTTTTGGGTGGTGTTTACATCAGTCATCATTCCAGAGGTTGGCTCAGGATAGTTCCCACACACACACACACACACACACACTTTAAAAAAAGGCTTTGCTCCTCCTGAAGTGCATTTACTGAGCAAGACCCATTATTCCATTAGTGGCAGGATTTACTAAGAGGTGATGGACTCTGGCTTTGTGGGGGGGGGGCTGCGATGGAGCAGTTTCCCATGAATTTTTGACTTCGGGCACCTCATTTTAAACCGGCATTAATTGCCCCGTTATTTCCATAATGATCTGTTTGCTAAGTTGAAGCCATCTGTTTTTACGTGGCTGTTAAAGTGCAAATTGGCTCTCCAGTCTGATTAGCACAATGGGCTTGGCGCTGCATTTTGTTTTCGATTTATTACCTCTCCGGGTTTTAAGTTCCCGGGTTATATAAATTATTGTGCTTTGAAACACCCCCGGTTCCTCCAAATAGACTTTCCGGATTAAAAAAAGCTTCCCCAAATGTCGGGGGAATAGGTAGGTGGAAGTTGGCTTTAGCAAACTTGTGAGGAGTAAGCGGGAACTCAACGCTTTTCCATCCTTTTGTGTAACAGAATTGAAATAAAGACCTAGGTCAGGGGTAGGCCACCTTGGCTCTTTTATGACTGGTGGACTTCAACTCCCAGAATTCCTGAGCCAGCCACGCTGAGGGGAAAGAGAGAGGTTTCCAAGCTGAGCCATGCTGGCTCAGGAATTCTGGGAGTTGAAGTCCACCAGTCATAAAAGAGCCAAGGTGGCCTACCCCTGACCTAGTTCATCCTCGTACTAAGCCATAGTTTGATTAACCAAGGTTCAGTAAGCCAAATTAGAAGCTGTAGTTTATTAAACTACTGTACGTTGAACGTTTCATCCTTCGCGTTAAGCCAAAACCACTCACATTTTAGCTCGGGGCAATGAGAAATCTCAGGGATTACGTTAAAATGGGTGGTGCGCAGAAATATTTTTTGGTCCAGAAACCTAATAGGACAATGATGATATGTTCTAGTTACTGTAATAAGCGGAACAGGGAGATTCTTGGCCAAGTAAAATATGCTATTTTGCAAATCCACATGGAAGAAGAGAAGGACTAGGAAGAGCAGTTGCAAATGTCTTTTTACAGAAAGACGTTGTGTTATCTTTCTGACACAGAAACCAAAATAAGTAGGAAATGCACTGTCGGGACAAGAGGCTCTGTTAATGCAGAAAAGTAAGCAATTTGTGATGCTGAGGCATTGGGGCCACCTTGGACAATGAGATTCACTTGACAAGATGCTTCTCTGGTATCTTCTTTCGTCATGATCCAGCCCACAGAAGTCTGGGTCTAGGTGCGCTGTCCTCTTTCAGACCGGCAATAGTTTTCTATGTGTAGAGGAGAGCACTCAGATGTGTGACCTGTAACTTGTGGAGTTGTAGTGCCCAGGTGCTGGGTAGTGACCAGAGGAAAAAAATGGATTTGGGGTATTAAAGATCTCCAAAAATCACGCTCGCCTTTTCTCTGGATTCTCTGCTTTATCCTTGCCTCATTTATTTACTACTCTTTGTACATTTTCTCCTACAGTTTATGCATTCTAGGTCTCTTTCTCTTTTCTTTCCTCTTCCCCTCTGCTCCAGTGCTTCTGGAAAGCTGCAGCTGATTCCTAAAGAGAGAAGGCTTCCCGGCCCCCCGCAGCCATGCCCTCCAATAAGGACGCCTCTGGCTGCCTCGGCTCCCCGCCAGGCTTGATCTGCTTGCCGCCCATCTCCGAGGACCTCCAGCTGGTGTGGACCCAGGCGGCCCAGACGAGCGACCTTGACGGGAACCAGCACCTTCTGCAGACGTTCAGCTATTTCCCCTACCCCAGCCTTTCCGACCTGGCTTTGCTCTGCCTGCGTCACGGCCTGCACATGGAGAAGGTGAAGGCTTGGTTCATGGCGCAGCGGCTGCGCTGCGGCATCAGCTGGAGCGCCGAGGAGATCGAAGAGACTCGGGCTCGCCTCATCTACCACCAGGACCAACTTCACTTTAGCTGCCTGCTTGCTGGCAGCGAGGGCGACTACTGGCCCCAGACGTGCAAAAGCCCTTCCTACCACCAGCTGGCTCCCCACCCTCTGCACTACTCCAGCAAATACCCAGAGAACCAGCAACCTCTAGTAACCTCCTTCAACCACTGCAGTACGGCTCAAGGAACAAAAGAACTTGGGACGATCACTCAGGACCTTTGGAAACCGCAGGGAAACGACGCGCCCCGCTACAGGAAACCTCAGGGAAATTTTGAACCTTCAGGGATCGTGGTGAATTTTCAGAATGCCAAAGAGACCGTTTCCTCCGGTGCTTATCCACCCGTCACAACGATGGGCCTGGATTACAGCCTCCAGGATTCTCACACGATGGCCTGGAGCTTCCCCGCGGCGTCCCAACCACCAGCCGAGCCCATCGCGCCCGCGGTTAACGGCGGGCACCACCCGGTGAGCCTTCCGCTGGGCTCTCCGGTTAAAGCTGCCCCGTCCTCCTCTAAAGCTGCGGCCGGCCTCGCGGACCGTCAAAACCACCAGCCCTCTGTTAGTGACCAGCAAACTCCCTTGCCGGAGGTTTTACGGAAGCCTCGGCGGAAGACGAAGGAACAGCTGGATCTGTTGAAGTCCTTCTTCCTCCATCGGCAGTGGGCCAGGCGAGAGGACTATCACCAGTTGGAGCAGGTCACTGGGCTACCACGAGCAGAGATCATCCAGTGGTTTGGAGACACGCGTTACGCCCTGAAACACGGTCAGCTGAAATGGTTCCGGGACAATGCGGGGCAGAGTCCGGAGCCCGCTTCCTCGGGACCTCCTCCGCAGCCGTGTGCCAACCCTCCGGACGCGAGCCCCCTGGAGCGGTACTGGGCCGCCCACGCGCAGCTGCAGGAGCACGACTTGCCGATGCTCTGCCGCAAATCAAGAATGAGCGCCGAGCAAGTGTTGGAGTGGTTTCGCTCACACTTGCCGGCCCCCTGCGAGGTCGAGGTGTGTCTGGGGGAAGACGACGAGGTGGACGAAGAGGTGGCGGCAGCCCTGATAAAGGCGGAGGACGAAGACTATTACGAAGACGAGGATGTGGAAGACGAGGAGGAGGAAGACTGAAGGACTTTTTGTGTGTGGATGCTGGAGGTTTTGGACTTCTCCGAGGAGCAGAGAGAGAGAGAGAGAAGAGAGAGAGAGAGAGAGAGAGAGAGGGTTTCTGCTCCAGCCATTTCCTGCTGTTAGCCGTGACCCCCGTCACTCACGTTCTAGAATGTGTTTTTTTTTTTCCTTTGAGCCTCTGAATTTAAAAACAAAAATAGTTTTGTTTCCATTCAGTGTTTATCAAGGCAGAATCACGGTGGTATAAAAATGGGGTTTAGATGCGAGTGGCCGTAATATGAATCCCTTCGGCAATCTGCTGGGTCTCAAAACGATTTCTTTTGATAAAGCTTTAATTCGGTTGATTGCATTTTTCAGTTTCGTATTGTTTCCCCGAGCATTTTCCCTTAAATCGTTACAAATTTGTTGTCTAGGTCGCTAAACCCCAAAGCCCAACGATTGCCTGATTTTGTTACCTTTTCTACGGCTTGGAATACAAATATTTTTTCATTTACGCTCGGATGTGCCTGTCTTGATTCTGTTTGTTCCAATTCATTTATTTATTTTTTTTATTCGAGTTTAAAAATTGGATCGTTCGTTACCAGAGTGGCAGAGATGTGGCAAACCCCACTCTTTTCAAATTCTATGAAAATCATAGATAAGATTTGACTGGTGGAAGCTCACATACCAACTACATTTTATTTTCAAACAGTTAAAAGTAATTGTTTGCTTTGTCAGTGCTTATGCTTTGCTTTTTCTTTGAAATCAAAGAAAAGTTAGAAGACAAGACTAAGGCTAACTTTCCTGTTTTCATGCCTTCAAGATACGTTGGGACTAAAAAAAAAATGTTAGTTTTTAGACTGGTACACAAGATGATAATTGTAGATATTATATTCAAATGGATATTTTTGTCATTTATTTCCATTTTCATTCTCTTTTATTTTAAAAAAAAAACATTTTTGGCACGACTTCTAATATCTGCTCCCGATGGTCCTTCTTTATCATGTGACTTTCATATCATTTTGCTTAGTTGGATTGTTTTCTTTTCCTTGTTCCGTTAGTGCCTTGATTCACCAGCTTTCCCCGTCATCCAGTTTTTCCATTCAGGTCATATATCTGGTCTGTACTAGTTGGTTTGATGTAGTGAATTGAATGCCAGTTAGAGATAGTGTAAGATAAAAAGAGTGGCCTCTTGCAAAAAGAATGGCAAACGCTCCTAAATGCTTGCTATCTTCCTCTGTCCAACTCTCATTATCCCCAGATTGACGGGAAAATAAACCCATACATCCTGAGAATAGCTTTTGAGATTATTTTGACAGAAAAGAGGAATTTGGAAGTTTGTGAAAGTATTAAGAGGTAGGAGACTAGACAGAGACTAACCATCTGTACTTTTTAAAAAAATTATTTAATTAAATATCATTTTCAATTTTTTTTTAAAGTAGAACCTCTACAAAAATAGCCTCTGCCTCTCCAGGCAAGAGAATTTAAAAGTACTGAAATGAGCTAATGAACCTTAGATAAAGAAAAAGTGGTACATAGATTATAGTACCGTACTTAGTGAAACATTCAAAGGCTGTAATTTGTCCAGGATAGAACTGAGCAGAATAATAATTTGATTTGTGGATTGGTTACGTAATAAATTGAGTGAGTTACTAGATGATTCTGTTCAGTAAATTATATCTGTCTTTTTCCTCTTTCTCTTTAATATAGTCTTTTTTTAAAGTGTATCTGTTCCATTTCAATCTGGGAAACAACGTTGGTTGCAAATACGATAATCGTATATTATGCGCAACCTGGATCAAATTGTTTGAATATTTCATCTTAGAAGTAGTACACAAAGGATTTTAGCTCAGAGAACATCCAACATACATTTTTCTTCTTAGCAAATCTAGTCACAAAGTAAGATTGGAGCTAGGACTCGCAGGTTACTTAATGGGCTAAATCTGACAGTTAAAACACTACGTATCAATAATGCTACTGCAGAGTTCACCAGCTACTTTTAGCGATTTTCCTCAAAAGATTTATAGGCATTTATTTTAAGATTATGTCACATACGCTAAGTGCCACAAATATGCTTTGTCTTGTATAATAATTTTTATTTATTTACTACGATGCATATACCGGTTGGCTTCAAGCAGCTGTGAATGGCTTATTTCAAGTCACAAAAAATATTTAAATAGAATTTTAATCAAAACAACGTCTCCTAATGGCATCACTCAATTATTAATGGATTGTTTTTTAATCAGGGCTCAAATGTTCAAAGAACGTATGCTGCAGGAAGTCTGCACAGAAGAGTCTGTCTTGCAATCTAACATTAGGATGATGTTTAAGAGAAGAGCTGCTTTGGTCATCCCCATTATTGCTGATGGATTTGGCTGATGGATGAATACCTGGGGGAAAGTTGCAATTAACTAGTTGCGTGGAGCCAGTCTTCTCAGTTTAGTACTGTATTAAATTCTGATCACTGTTTAGTTTGCTCAGCAAAATTATGTTCTAATTTCTGAGAATGGTAAATAATGAATTTCTAACATACTACAAATTCAGTTTAACAGAAAACACGGGGAATGAGAAAAAAATTGGGACTTTGTTCCTTTGGAAGCTGCCATTAAGACTTCTAACAGGTAAGGCTGGGACTTAAATTTTGCTGCTAAAACAAATTGATTTTAGCAGCAAAATTTTCGATATTATTTATTTATTTATTTATTTATGAGACTTATATACCGCTTTTAAGTGCAAGCACTCTCTAAGCGGTATACACCAGTAAGCAATGTATATATATATATATTTACATTGCCCCCAACAATCTGGGTCCTCATTTTACCTACCCCGGAAGGATGGAAGGCTGAGTCAACCTTGAGCCGGTGAGATTTGAACCGCTGACCTGCTGAACACAGTCAGCTAAAGTGGCCTGCAGTACTATACTCTAACTGCTGCACCACCTCGGCTCTTATTGCATCTTACTGGCAAGGATGATGAAAACTAGAGTTGGGGTGGGGGATGGAGGAGACCCATAATTTCACCTGGGTATGGATTACATTCATCATCTTTCACAAAGCTGTGCGATGTAACATATGAAAGGGTGAGAATGAAGAATCCACGTTGGTCTCACTTACCTGTGGGAAAAGGATGGTGTAGAGTGAGGTGTGAATCCCAGCTATGAATGACAAGAGAAAGAAAAAGCAATTGAACTGGACGAAGCCTTTCTTAGCATGAACTACCTGTCTACAATCTGACTTTTACCTGTCGGGGGTGCAGTCTTTCAGCATTGTGGTGGTCAGGCATAGAAGCACCTGTTGGATCTGTAAAACAAAAGCAATAGGAAACTGGACAAGAGGGTAAGTTCTATGGCAGGGGTAGGCTACCTTGGCTCTTTGATGATTCGTGGACTTCAACTCCCAGAATTCCTGAGCCAGCCTGGCTCAGCTTGGAAACGTCTCCCTTTCCCCTCAGCATGGCTGGCTCAGGAATTCTGGGAGTTGATGTCCACCAGTCATAAAAGAGCCAAGGTTGCCTACCCCTGGTCTATGGGAATTGAAGGGCTATCTTAACATCTTAGTCAATTTTGGCATCTGCATCTCACGCTAAGCCTTAGTTTGTCTAACTATTCTGGAATACATAATGCCAGGGTTAAAACTGCACGATATACTTTAGACAGGCTGGTGATGTCAGGCACGCATCAAAAGAAAAGAGGACTTTTCTAGGAAAAGGAGAGTAGGGCAAAGTTTTAAAAGTTACTTAAAATACGGCACAATTGATGTGATTATTCCTTGTGTATGGTTCCCCTTCTGTTACTTTACACAGTACTGTTCAGTGACAACTTTGGGGGGTCACTCAAGCTAAATCCATTGCTTTGGGATTCACCTGTAGCTACTGGGCCTTAGATGTTACGATTTGTAAATAACACCTGTTGTTTACAAATCATGATAAACCAAGTTCATGTTCAAGAAACTAGATTGCAACCGAAAGTAGTGCATTACTGCACAAAAACAATATGGAATAAACATATATTAGCCAAAGAGGAACTCTTTCCTCACCAGGAAAGATGCTGAGGTTGAAGTATGGAGTTTCCTGTGGCTGCCCAGGGTTGTTAGCACTCCGACTTAGTCTCGCCATCGGAGTTTGAAGACCGAAGACATTGAAACTGGGGGTATGGGAAACGGAAGGAGAGGCCCTAAAAAGGAGGGAAGAGTTGACAGAAGTCCTGATTCTTGTGGAAGACAACAGTTAAATGTTTTTAACTGACATTGTATAACTATATGTAAGCAGCACCATCAGCAAGGACACCCCCCCCCCATTCCCCTGCTTTTCTGACTCACCTATAGAATAAGCTCTGCGTGGAGGCGGAAGACGGAGTGGCTGCCAAATAGAAGGTAAAGGTGTTACGCATGAAATGAATGGTGGAGAGCACGTGGAAAGGTGATAGGAAGTTTATTTATTTATTTATTTATGAGACTTATATACCGCTTTAAGTGTGTATATATATATATATATATATATATATATATATACACACATTGCTCCCAACCATCTGGGTCCTCATTTTACCTACCCCGGAAGGATGGAAGGCTGAGTCAACCTTGAGCCGGTGAGATTTGAACCGCTGACCTGCTGAACACAGTCAGCTAAAGTGGCCTGCAGTACTGCACTCTAACTGCTGCGCCACCTCGGCTCAAGTTTAAGGATAGGCATGTGGGGAAAGGGTATCTAAGGTGAGCAGATCGAACAGAAATCATTCATGACAGGGAAGGAATGGGGTTTCTCTTCACAATAAATTCTGTTCCAAATAATAAGCTGTGAAAGGATGCTTGTCTGTAGAAAGGATACCCTGGAAGATTCTTGATTTTATTTCCTTGGGCTCTCTGTTGCCCAGAATCTAAATATGGCAGAAATTTACTGTTTGTTGAGAGTTACACTTCTTACCATTAGCAGAGACCGCTGGGGTCATTCTGGGGACTCTCGTGGCATGCTGAATAAAGGGGAGAAAGGTTTAAAGGAATTTTCATTTATCTCATTTGTATAGTGCAGGGGTAGGCAACCTTGGCTCTTTTATGACTCGTGGACTTCAACTCTGAGCTATGTTGGCTCAAGAATTCTGGGAGTTGAAGTCCACGAGTCATAAAAGAGCCAAGGTTGCCTATCCCTGGTATAATGGACTCGGAGCAACGTACAACAAAGCTACGAGTTAGGTAAAATCATAACAAAAATATTAAGAACTATGAAAAACAAAACCTATATGGAAATACACTAACAGATGAAGGGTTAACGGAGCGAAAGTACTAAAAGGGAACAATTAAACCATTCAGTAGCCTTAGAGCTAACATTATTAATTGTTCTTTGTTGCAGATAAACCAGTTTGGGGTTTGGGGGCTTTCTGGTTTCCCCAGTGAAACCACCTTTTTAACCACATTACTGCTAAGGAAACAGTGGTTCTGGCCATGCCACGTGCAGCTAAGCAGAACTAAGAGTCCAGAATGTTTTGTGTCCAAAGACAGCTTTTCATTTGGGCAGATGGTATCGAGGGAATTTTATTCTCAAAACTACTTCAAATGACTGCAGGAAACAAAAGCAGTCTATCCCGTTTCCCTTTCCTGGGAAAAGAAAAGCGATGGCAGAAACTAACCTGCCAGCTTGGCTGGTGGCTGACTCTGGAAGAAATGGAATCCATTGAAGATGAGCGGCTATGAAAGAGGCACAAGGAGCTGTCACTACAACAACTGGAAAGTTAATCTGCAATCGGATGCACAGTACTCTTTATGGGGACTTTTTAAGTATAATAATCAGGTTTTGCTGTACGGGAGCGAGCCTGAAGAGACCATAGTCGCAGCCAGAAGATTCTAAGACAGCGGTTCTCAACCTGTGGGTCGGGACCCCATTTGGGGTGGAACGACCATTTCACGGGGGTCGCCAAACAACGCAGTCCGCCATTCCCCCCACCCTTTTCCTTAGCTGTGCTCCTCCCTTTTATTCTGTTGGCTTTTGAAAGCCAATAGAATAGACTCTCTTGAATAGAGTCTAATTCTATTGGCTTTCCAAAGCCAATAGTAATTGTCCAGGCTGTCTCTGCCCTGCTGAGCCCGCCAAAAGTCCCCTTCTGCAAACGGTGCTGCACCAGTTGAGTAGTCCTCGACTTACGACCGGTTGGGGGTCGCGGCATTAAAAAGGTTGAGAACCACTGTTCTAAGATGTGGAATGAAGTGCTGACACTCCATTCCATAGCTCAGATAGAATATGCCTATTCTAAATCGCTGAAGAGACAGCCACTTGTCTGAAAAAGTAGTATAGGGCAGCGATGGCGAACCTTTTAGAGACCGAGTGCCCAAACCACAACCCAAAACCCACTTATTTATTGCAAAGTGCCAGAGCTGCATCAGCATTGTGGTGCCCTCAGGGGAGGGGCATGGGGGCATGGCCCACTGGGTGCGCATGGCTGGGGTGGGCATGGCCACCTCGATGTTGCTCATGGGGGGGACACCTATGGGGGCCAGGCAGGGTTGGGGGAGATCCAGGGGATCTCTGGCGGGTGGGGCGGTGGGCAGGAGGCCCAGCATAGATGGGGGGGAGGCACGCAATCCTAGCTGGGACTGGGGGCCGTGGCGCTGATGGGGATCCGGCTTTCCCTGCTCGGGGTGGCCTTTGACTTGCTTGGTTTGGGGGTGATCTACCACCTTTACTTGAGCTTGCTAGCTGATCACTTCGCCTCCTTTGTGCAGGGCGACGGCGGAAGCCTAATGGACCTGCACAAGCTGCTGGCAGTGGCAGCACACGTGCCCACAGAGAGGGCTCTGAGCGCCGCCTCTGGCACGCGTGCTATAGGTTCGCCACCACTGGTATAGAGTCTCCTGCTTGAGCAAGGGGTTGGACTAGGTGGCCTCCAATGTCCCCTCCAACTCTATGGTATTCTGTATTCTGATTTTTCAAAGGAAACCCTGTTTCCTCTCTTCAAATCTGAGCAAGTTAGCAAACTTTATGCAATCTTTCAGGATCTGGAGCACCTTCAGAATAGTGGCTGCCATGGGAGACTTAGCCAAAATACCCTTTGCCAGAAAACAAACTATCTCTTCGGGATATTTTCACCATCCCACTGGGATTTTTGTGTGGACTCAAGCTATTTTTGTAAAAGACATACTACAGTGGTTCTCAACCTGTGGGTCGGGACCCCATTTGGGGTCGAACGACCATTTCACGGGGGTCGCCAAACAACGCAGTCCGCCATTTTCCCCCCCTTTTCCTTAGCTGTGCTCCTCCCTTTTATTCTATTGGCTTTTGAAAGCCAATAGAAGAGACTCTCTTGAATAGACTCTAATTCTATTGGCTTTCCAAAGCCAATAGGAATTGTCCAGGCTGTCTCTGCCCTGCTGTGCCCGCCAAAAGCCCCAGTCTGCAAACGGTGCTGTACCAGTTGAGTAGTCCTCGACTTACGACCGGTTGAGTAGACCTCGACGTACGACCGGTGGGGGGGTCGCGGCATTAAAAAGGTTGAGAACCACTGGCATACTAGAATGTAGCACTTTTGCTAGCTTTTTTTTTTTTTTTACAAAAACTGTCCAAGGAGTTTTTGATAAAAACTATGAATAGCATAAATCACCCCTAATTTAAAAAAAAACCCACACATTTACCTGACTACCTCACTGGAGCGCTGGAAAATAGGTTGCGGTGTAACTGCAAAGTATGAGAGGGTTACAGTCACGGTTAACTCTGCTAGACATAATGTTGGGCTGAGATATTAAGAAATCTTAATAGCTGGATATACCTGTCCATATCCTACGTTGCCCTCGGAGATCCGGGCAAACATCCATATATTTCTGCCCATGCAAATATCTACACATACGCAAAATGTTACCCTGAACCTGGTGAAGTGATTCGAGATCTTTATATCTCTTACCTGTCTGTGACGGAGGAGTGACGGCAACCGGCTTTGGGGTGCTGTTCTGGCATCAAATCAAAATGAGTTTGATCAGTTAGGATAACTCTCCCCATTCACCCACCCCCTAAATATTGGGTTTTTTTTCTTCCTCCGGTTTTTTCAGGGCTGGCCTATGGCTCTTCATTTTGCCATGAAGCTCTCTTATAGTACTGCCTTTACTCACAGTCACTCATGCCCTTGTCACCTCAAGACTGGATTACTGTAACGCGCTCTACATGGGGCTACCCTTGAAGGGCGTTCGGAGGCTGCAGTTGGTTCAGAACGCAGCCGCGAGAGCGATTGTGGGCGTGCCAAGGTACGCCCACGTGTCACCTATCCTCCGCGAGCTGCACCGGCTTCCTGTGGGTCTCCGGACGCAATTCAAGGTGTTGGTTATCACCTTTAAAGCCCTTCATGGCATAGGGCCAGGTTACTTACAGGACCGCATACTGCCGCACAGTTCCCAGAGACCGGTGAGGTCCCATAGATTGGGCCTCCTTCAGGTCCTGTCGTCCAGACAATGTCGGCTGGAGGGCCCTCGGGGAAGGGCCTTTTCTGTGGTGGCTCCGACCTGGTGGAATCAACTTCCCCCCGAGATTCGAACTACTCCCACCTTGCCGGCCTTTAAGAAAACCATTAAAACTCTCCTGTTCCGGCAGGCCTGGGGCTGATGTCCCCGGGGGGGGGGGGGGCGGGATATGATCGGACTCGCTGTATGACTGTATTATTTTATTGTTTTATGATTGTTTTAACTCTGTACGCTGCCCTGAGTCCTTTGGGATTGGGCGGCATATAAATAAAATTAAATACAAATACCAATACAAATGCCTCTGCTTCATGGGCTGCCAATCCTGATGAACGGACATACTGACCTGCTGCTTTGGTGGTGTCTGGGAAAAGCCTGTTGAGAGAAGAGGGAGGGTTTGGGGTCACCAGCCGGGCCCCGAACACGCAAAAGGGTTTGATTTACTCTCGACGAATAAAGTAGAAGAGCAGAAGCCGTTGCTGCCAGCAGAGGGTGACAAGAAACCAAAGAAGGGAAACTATGATTGTTTCCGCCAAACGTCTTACCTTCAGGTTGAAGTACTTCTTCTTCAGTTCCCTGTTTTCCTTCTGTACGGCCTCTAGTTCTCTACGTATGGAAGTTTGGCAGGCAGGGAGAAACAGAAAGAGAGTGATAATAATATGCCTCGATGCTTTAGAGCCCACTAGAGAACACTTCAGCGGTGATGAGAATAAAGGCGGGAGGGCTGCCTCTGGGGCCATGCAAGCTATTTGTTTCACTTCGCAAATTATCAACATGCTTTAACATTTAACGGCCGATATCAGAAGGGAGCAGTAGCCTGGGGTCGTCTTTAGAAAAGCATATAATCCTATTTGCTTGCCACGGTTTTTAATCTCCCTCAAAAATAAAACAAGTATTTATTTCCCCCCCACCACCACCAATTAGGACAACTGAAGGATGTTTCCAACCTACTCAATAACTTTCTGTTGAGAAAGAGGGGAGAGGAAAGAATGGCTTTGTGGATATAGGACGGGGAAAAAAAAGTTTTATTTTAAGTATTTTATGTAAACAAAGTGGGAGGTTGACCTAAGACAGGGGTTCTCAATCTTGGCAACTTTAAGACTTGTGGACTTCAACACCCAGAATTCCTCAGGCAGCAAAGCTGGCTGAGGAATTCTGGGAGTTGAAGTCCACAAGTCTTAAAGTTGCCAAGATTGAGAACCCCTGACCTAAGAAGTCACGATGGACCTTTGATCGACTGGTTAATGTTATTAACTGAGTGACAATATGAAATGAGATCTTGTAAAGTTAATCATTTTAACGTTACTAATCCCTACAGATAAAACTTAAGAGGCTGTATTCACAAAGTATGCCAGGCAGGTAAATGAAAGACCTAGCAATTGCATTTGCACAACCTGTTAACCTTATTTTGAATCTTGGTTAGGTTGTCTTTGTGGCTTACGGTACGGTATGGAGCAGCTTATTTGGGTAATACACAGCATGTTCAGTGGATTCTATGACCCCAGAAATAGGATCATTCAATATTCATACTGTGTTACGCAAACACATTTATACTATTTTCCTTTGTTATATGAACACAACCTGCATATCTCACTTTTCCTGGATAGTTAGTTTATGGAGAGCTTGCTGGAGTGCTCCTTCAGCTTTTGAAGCATTATTTTTATAGAAAGAGACCAGCAAATCCATCTGGCTCTTCTGGAATGTCCATACCTAGAAAGAAAATCAGAAGGCATGAGAGAAGAGGATTTCAAGCAAATTCAGCATTTGATCTGAGGTTCCCAACTCATTTAGAGATACGTATATGAAACAGCATGTGGAACCTTTCAAATCTAGGTACATCACTCACTAGGAGATCTCTTCCATATGGATGGTACAGGACCCATCCCTACAAATCACGGTAGCCTTTGTCATTCTGGGTGTTATTCCAATATAACTCCCACACTAAGATGGTCAATAGCAATGGCTGATGAGAAGATTGGTCCATCAACATCTTTCTTGGATTGGAAGGCCCCGCTTACTGTCATTCGTGTCTTGGTCTCCTCTTTTTTTAGATTGCCATAATGTTGCTAAGAGTTGACAATCATTTGATGACACGTCATTGTGCCGTATCTAGAGCTACTCTTGCAGACCCTCTAGAACAGTGGTTCTCAACCTTTTTAATGCCGTGACCCCCAACCGGTCGTAAGTTGAGGACTACCCAACCGGTCGTAAGTTGAGGACTACCCAACTGGTCGTAAGTCGAGGACTTTCCCTGCCCGGGAGCGCCGCGGATCCGTGGTGCCGCCCCCTGCGCTGGCCGAGGCGTAGCTGGCAAGCGGCAGAGATGGCGCAGGCTGACCACCGGCTGGGCCACCAGCTAGCCCAGCCCAAAGGAGGTAAGACCACCCGCTGGGCCCCACTTGCGCCAGCAACCCTCCCTGCGCCCGCTGGCCTCCCACCTCCCACCCCTGGCCTTACATTTTTAGTACTTGCTCAGCAGAGAGGGGTGGAAACTTCCAGACAGCTCGCCTTTGCTGCAGACAACTTGCAGCACCGTTTGCAGAATGGGACTTTTGGTGGGCTCAGCAGGGCAGACACAGCCTGGACAATTCCTATTGGCTTTTGAAAGCCAATAGAATTAGACTCTATTCAAGAGAGTCTATTCTATTGGCTTTCAAAAGCCAATAGAATAAAAGGGAGTAGCACAGCTAAGGAAAACGGGGGAAAAAATGGCAGACTGTGTTGTTTGGCGACCACGTGAAATGGTTGTTCGACCCCAAATGGGGTCCCGACCCCCAGGTTGAGAACCGCTGCTCTAGAAACTTCAGCTGAGAACTAACTTGGTCACCAGGTTCGTTATGGTTACAGCTCAACTTTCTGGTTACAACTCAACTTTTCTGGTTTAAAGCCCTATAAGTCTTGTTATCTATGGGATCATTTTCTCCAAGTGGCATATGCTTACTCAGTAAGACTGGGGGCTCTTTCTGGATCTTATTTTCAGGAACCCACTGAGATGAATCCTTGCAGCTGACTTCTTTTGCTGGAGCACCATTCCTCCTAAGATCAGATTGGTTCCCACCCTTTTGTTGGGGGCAATAAATAAATTTGTAATTATATTCACCCTCCTGATATGGATTGCATGTTGTTAAGTTTGTTCCTTGGCGTACTGATTGTTATTTGTTTTATTACTGTTCTTTATTGTGTTTGCATTATTTTATAAGATGTTTGAATTAGAATGTATTTATTTATTTATTTGATTTATATGCCACCCAATCCCAAAGGACTCAGGGCGGCGTACAAAATTAAAACAATCATTGAGAATAAAACAATAAATAATTCAATCATACTGCAAGTCCGAATTGGCACAGAACTGGCAGTAATGCACAGTGTCTATATAAAGGGCCTATATGGGCTGAGCTGGAATGGAATGGAAGGGCGGGGCGGAGCGGGGCAAAGACAAAGGACAAGGGGCAAAGTCCAGAGTCCAAAGGGTTGACTTTATTTGGTCAAGTGTGATTAGACACACGAGGAATTTGTTTCCAGTTGAAAGAGAGGTTATTCTCCCAAAAAAACACAAGACCTTGTTTTTCCCAAAAGTCCTGTGAGAAGGTGAGGTGCACGACAGAGTTTAACAATAGCCTGCACGTGGAACCCTAATTATGGTGCCAGATTTTTTAATATTCATGGTTTTAATAGGTATATTTATGATGTTGCCTTATATTATTGATGTTGTTTTAATTGCTAGCTGGGAGCCGCCCAGAGTTTGATGTAACATGGGTGGCTGTATAAATATTCTAAATTAAATAATGACCACAGATTCTCCAGCCCTGGAACTGAGTAGCTGAATAGAAGGACAAATCATGTAATAGTACTTTATATATTTACTTTAATATTCCATCTAGTCGGGGGTGTGATCTGTGTTCTGTGTTTGCAAGGCATATATTATACAGAGCAAAGAGTTCAGACTTGTGTTTCTAAAGCTGTAAAATGAACAAGACGATATGAATATTATCCAAAAGGTGAGTTGAATGATAGCAAGGAATCTTACAACAGTTTAAAGTCTAACCAAGTTATCATAGTATAAATTGTCTTGGATTACATTTTCTGGCTTTCCTTCTCAGTTACCCCCCCAGAACTGTTTCTAAACCATGAGAAATTAAGAATTAACTTTTAGAATTAAAGAGGACCTCTAGGGGAAAAAAAAATCAATAGTGTACAGAACTGCTTATTTGAATATCTGGCACGTGCGTCATTTTTGCTTGACAGCTTGTTCAACAACTGCTTGCTTGATTTACAGAAAAAAAAAAGGATCTTATCAGAAATAAGTACGTACTGTAACAACTGGTTACAGCTTAAATAGTGCATTAGGAAAGCGTGCCATAACCCTCAAATCCCTTAAACACGAGAACAATAGAAACACAGCAGTTAAAATATTTATCCATCAGGATTTCTTAATCTTTACTTGGGACTAAAAAAAAACAACCCTTCTCTCACTTTTTTCCAACTTTTGGAATCTCCTCCCATATGGTTGGTGCTCACTTGTGTGGTTTTTTTAACAGCAGGGGGAGCCCTTTATTTTTCCCAGGGCGTAAATCAGTGGTTCTCAACCTTTTTAATGCCGTGACCCCCAACCGGTTCTAAGTCGAGGACTACTCAACCGGTTGTAAGTGGAGGACAACTCAACTGGTGCAGCACCGTTTGCAGAATGGGACTTTTGGCGGGCTCAGCAGGGCAGAGACAGCCTGGACAATTCCTATTGGCTTTGGAAAGCCAATAGAATTAGACTCTATTCAAGGGAGTCTATTCTATGGGCTTTCAAAAGCCAATAGAATAAAAGGGAGTAGCACAGCTAAGGAAAGGGGGGAAAAAATGGCGGACTGCATTGTTTGGCGACCCCCGTGAAATGGTCGTTCGACCCCAAATGGGGTCCCGACCCACAGGTTGAGAACCGCTGGCATAAATAGTTTAAAGTAAGGGCTGTTTTTATCACCGGTGCAATTAATTATATAATACTGCCGTTCTTTTATTTTTTTGTAAACTGTACTAGGAAATTTCTGTTTTAAAATGTGATATATAAAGCATTCATGTGAATGAATGAAAATGATGCGCTATTATCTAAACCAGGATCTGCGCATCATTCTCAGGAGTGAACTTCGGATGTTCTCTGAGTTTGCAGATCAACTTGCTGAGATGACAAGGGGGCTTATGTGATTACATGGAAACTACATGGATTGCTGTTCTCAACCACCCTTCCTTTCTTTTAACCCCCTTGAGGCCAAACTTTCATTATGAAAATCAAGATTATACATTATCTTTCACTCTAGCACTTAAAGCCTGTATTGAACAAACATAAAAAGGAAAGGAGATCTGTCTTTTATCCAACTGCAAGATACCGGATTATCTTTTACCAGAAGCTCCTGTGCGGAATATTGAACACAAGGTAGCAGTTTTGCCCGTTGTCTTGATCTAATGAAGAATAGTTGTAAACTTGGTTCAGTTCAATAGAATTGTGAGAAAATAAATAAAAACAATTGTTGAATGGATGTAGAATTAAATGCAGATCCATTCCGTCTTTAAAGGTTCCTCTCCCGTTCTTTGTTTGAGCGCTAGGCTATCTAGTTGAAGAAATGGGATTAGGATGAGGATTATCATGGTGGATTTTAATGCTCAGGTATTGCTGACTCTGCTGAAACTTCTTCTGATGATTAACTAGCTTGTCACAACATTTATCTGGCTCTTTTATCTAGATTTATTATTGTAATTAATTAGCTTTCTTGGCAAACGAGGACCGCTATTACTACAGAATTAACCTTTCCCCAGATTGGTTATTAACCAGTCCTCTAGTGGACATTGGATCATTCATCCATTGTGTAATAGCTATTAAAAATGGAATAAAATATATCTTAATTTTAGGGGAAATGTTGTAGTTCATTCATGTTTTCTACAGGCCTCCGAACACTTTAAGTAGGTCAGAATAACTTCAGTATTACATACCTGTTCTGATCACTGTTCCTCTTTTTAGCAACTAAAATCTATGAGAACGTAACCCAAAATGGTTTCTCACCTGAGAGATATGAGCAATATAGCTGAGCGCTGTTTCAACAGGGTTTTTGAAAAACTTCTTTTCTTCTTGTTTCATCTGAAGGCCAGAAAAGCAGACAAAGGGGTGGATAAGGGTTAAATTCTTTATAACGTAAAAGGCGAAGCAAATGGAATTTTTCAGAGTTTATTTAATTGGTTGTATAACTGAAATATCACCTTTCCAATATCATTTCACCAACTGAATTTATGTCTATCCAGCTACTCTGGATTTTGATTTTTTTATAGTTTTTATGTCATCATATTTTCTCCTGCTTTTTTTCTAAGGAGTTGAAGGTAATATACTGGTAGTATGAAGAATACCACTTTTGGATCATTGAAAAACAGTAAGAAAAATATTCTGAAATAAGTAATTTTTTTTAAATCATTTTTCTTCTCTCACCTAACTTTATAGAAGCCTTCTTAAATAGATTCCATTGAGTAATTGAGTACACAACATTGATGGGCAGTATTTGAATACTTTTCTCCATAATATAATTGGGATACACAATGAGATCCCGACTGCCAGGTAGCTGAATATTTTTACAAATTAAAAGTACATAATAAATCATTCCCAATTTTTCAGGAAATGTCTTTTGTTTGGTTTCTTATAAATTAATATTTATCCACTTTCTACTAATGTCAGAGCTCTGTTAAACTCATTGTTTAACACTCCAGTTAAATCCTGCTCACTATTTGGTTTTCTTGCTTCTTATAATTTAAATATTTGACACATTCACCCAATAGATTGGGATACAAAGTCTGAGTTCAGAGATACCAAAAAGAAAGAAAAAAGGAATCTTTCTTACAGAAACTAGAACTTACATTATCTTTTAGAGACAAATATTTGCAGCTTGTTCCACAAGAAGGGCATTTATCTAACAAGATTAAAATGTAAAATTGTTAATAGGACACTGAAATATTTCACATATCATAATCCACAAATTGCAAAATGGATGTTTTTTTTTTCTAAAATTAGCGAGCCAATTTTTGTTTAGATTCTCTTTATAAGGATTTTGGCTGATCTCTAAATGTGATGGAGACTTGGGGTTGGGCGGCACTTTGATAGGAAACCACCCCAAATCTCAGAGCTGTAGATCAATTTAGAATGTGGCAAAAAATATCTGTACTGTTACCCAGGAAATGACACAGAAGTATCCAAGAGGTCATCATTTTAATTTCTTTGACTTTTACAGTACTCCGTTTGTGCTGGATGGCGCGCACACACAAAGAAGCCTCTAAAGTAGAAAAATACATTTCATACTTACCTGTACCAGCACATTTTTGGCAAAATATGTGTCCACAGCTAGTAACTGAGAAGTCAGATTTCTCTTGGCTGAAGCACTGATTGCAATGAAACCAATCCATGTTGAAAGGCAGAAAGGCTAGGTAGATTTTTCTCAGCTTCTATTGTGAATAAGGATGTGTCAGATTGTTTTCTAAAAAGAATTGTAATTGAATTTGAATTTTTGCAGGAAGCAGAAAAAAAATGGTCATGATGTATGTTTTTGAAGATTAGAATAAAAATAAAAGATCTTAGAGAAAATATAAACAATGCTGTAACCATAGGACAAGAGGGTGTTTTTTTTATATTTATACCCCGGTAAAAGAAAATTGAAACTGATTTTTTTATTTCTGCATTTTGGCCTTTGCTCTTTTTTTCATTCTAAATATATGTTGAATTTTATAAAAAAAGAATTGGATGGAAAAATAGAATGGAAAGGTGACATAAATTAAGCGAATTATTTATAAAAATAGAGGGGGAGAGAAGTAGGAGGAAAAAACAAGCATTTAGAAAAGGCTGGATAAATATACTGGACTGGAAACAAAGGTGAAACATTCCGTCATTACATATGAGGGCCTGGTGGAGACGATATAAGCAGCGGAAGGATTCATTTGTATCAAATATTGTGTTAGTGTTGCTAAATTGATTAAATGTTGACTATGTTAGTTTCTTTTATCCTTTCTTTATCCACATATCCTTTCTTTAAAAGACGGTGAGGAAGGCAGAAAGTAGCACATCATCCATCACCATCATCATCTGAGTATTACCCAGATTGTTGGGGGCAATGTAAATATATATATACATTGCTTACTGGTGTACACCGCTTAGAGAGTGCTTGCACTTAAAGCGGTGTATAAGTCTCATAAATAAATAAATAAATAATAAATAAATTACTGTACGGTCTGGCCTTACATGGGCTGAAAAAGGATGATTGCAATTATATTAGGCCAGGGGTAGGCAATCTTGGCTCTTTTATAAGGTGACCAACCGTCCTCATTTAGGGAGGACAGTCCTCCTTTTCTAAGTTCTGTTCTCCCTCGAAAAGTGTTCTCCTACATGTCCTCCTTTTCAATATTTGAAGATTAATTTGCAGGGCTTTTTTTTTTCCTCATAGAACACTCAGAATGGCATTCCGGCACCTTTTTTTGATGTTTTTTTTTTCAACTTTTGCATGAGCTGTGCTACTCCCCCTATTGGCTTTCGAAAGCCAATAGGAATTGCTGCTGAGCGCACCAAAACACCTGGCTGACAAACTTTGCACATGCAAGCTGTCGGTATTATTGTTGCAATGAATAAAATGTTTCTTTTATTTACTATATTTTTTTCTTCAATTTATTTGTGTCCTCCTTTTCATTGTAAAAAAGTTGGTCACCTTATCTTTTATGACTCGTGGACTTCAACTCCCAGAATTCCCGAGCCAGTGCTGGGAGTTGAAGTCCACGAGTCATAAAAGAGCCAAGGTTGCCTACCCCTGTATTAGGCCAATAGATCCGGCTACTTTCCAACTGCATACTCACTATTAATGACTATTCATTGAGTTCAACAAATAACAAATAAAAGAAAAGAAATAAAATGTTATTCCATTAAAATGATGTGGGCTTCAGAAAAGGGAAAAGGAAAAAGAAAATGAGGGGGAAAAAATTCAAGCATAAAGGGAGGCAATCTTGCTCCATTTCTTGGCATGGATCCATGGGGTTCAGGATGCAGCCATAATAACAGGGAGGGAGAGAATGGAGGAACAGATGTTAAGATGAATTGCCATATATCAAAGCTATGGCAGCATATTAATGGTTTCATAACACCAACATGTCCTAGGCAGTAGCATACGTCACATTTATGGCGAAATCCTGTTTTCTTCCCCAACTTTTTCTTTTAGTGGCTCTGGATTTCTCCCATTTTATTATTTTTTGACTACTGCCAGTTCTGGCTGGAGGTTGATGACCATCAGTGATCTTCATTCTTTCAACATTACTGTACAAAACAAAAACATGATATTTTTGCCAAATCAGGTACTTTGATTTTTTTTTTTTTATTTGCTCGCTGGTATATAATCTCTGAATCTAATCTTTGGCCATGGTGGTTAGGGATTAGGGGAACTGAAATCCAGTTTATCTGGAAATCAGGCTGGGAAAAACTGTAATCGTTAAATCTGGTTGCCAGCTGCAGTGAAGCAATACTTTTTAAGACTTTTAAGAGTTAATTAGGGGACTTTTAAGAGTTAATTAGGGGACCCAGGTATTTGCACAAGGGCAAGGTGAATCCAGGTTTTGTGCTGCTCTGTGCAAGGACACTGATGCAAGATAGGGCAGGGGGAAGGGGGCCTTGAGGTTTTTTAATGTAAAAATCATGAAAACTGCAACTCAAATCATTCTTCATTATCACATTCCCACTATTGTTAAAAGCATGATAAATTACAATCTAATCAATGGGAATAGATACCATTTATATATGATTCAGTCATGGATTAAAGCAGTAGGTCAAGGATTTATGTGTTTTTTTTTACCATCTTGTGACTCCAGAATGACTTTCACATTTCAAAACTGATTTGAGGGCAGAAGCAACATGAAAATAGTGAGGATTTATAGGGGCTTCTCTTAAAACTACTGGATTTGCGCTTTGAGTGGGGGCAATCTCTGAACAAGGAAGGAGATGAGCACCCATTTGAGAATAGGTTTGACATTGAAAGAATATAGATCTGACATACTACTGAAGGTGAAACTTGTCCAAACAAGTTTATGAATAGTTATTGCCATCCTTAAATTATTTTGCTTTGAACTCTTGTCGATTTAATTATTATATGATTTGGTTTTGGTGTGATTTTTGATCACTTTTATTATAATTTCTCCTCCCATGGCTGTCACTTGTAAAGCAGTTGTATTGCTTTAGAGTTATTTACTTTTATTATTTTACTTTTTTTATGGATGCATTATGGGTATTTAATTGCTTATTTGATGGATCTGTATTGATTTGACAAGAGGGAGAGTGGGAAGGAGAAAAAAGAGAAGGAAGGAAAGGAGATGGGCATGAAGGAAAACAGAAGAGGAAGGAAAGGGAAAGGAATAGCGAGAAAAGAGGGAAAAAAGGGAATGAAGCAAAGAGGAAGTCTCAGAAAATAAAGAGGTTCCTAGTTATTCTTTGTCCCCAAACCTCAAACCCCCCCTCAGTTCAGTGATTCACTTCACCCCAGGTGGAAACCACCATTCTAACAAGGTTATAACCAAGTTTAATGGCTTTTCCATCCCTTGAAAATTCCCTGCCTTGGCCAGCCTATAAATGTGGTTCCTCCACCTCAGCCGCCATCGAAGCCAAGTAGCAGAGAAGGCAGTGGGCATTTTGAGGGGAAATCTCCCCCTCCCAAACAATAAACGCTATTTTCCTTGCTGGACTACAGCCACCATCCTCCTCAGCCCCAGGATAACGGGAACTAACTCCAACTAATTCTGAGGTGGAGGGACACCAGGCTGAGGGTGAGAGACCAAGCAAGCCGCCTCTTTTGCTTTGATATAACGCCGCGCCGATCGATATTTTTTATTTATATTGCGAGCTTGTAACGTAACTGAACTGTGAAGAAACTGCTCCCTCAGGGAAGCGGCCGGTGTGCGCATGCGTAACTATTTCCCGCCTCCCCCCCCCGACCGGCGTTGATAAAGAGGCGGGAAAAGAGGATTGGTCGGGGGCGGGGCTTAGGAGAATGGGTGGGAGCTAGCAAAGACTTACCATTTAGGTGTCTTCCAGAGTGTGGAGTGGCAGCTCCCAGAATTCCAAGAGAATTCTTAGGGTGTGCTGGGAGTTGTAGTCTTGTGCTGCTAGGCCTCTAAAAGCATCTTCTCAAGTTCTGCTACAGTCCATCTCCAACTGGGCGCCCTCCAGACCATGGAGCAGCAACACCTGGAGTTCTGAGAAAAATGCTAAGGGGATGCTGGGAGTTGTAGTCTTGCTCATGTGGAGGGCGCCAGGTTTTTGTAGCCTGGGTCTAGCTTTCCTCTGAATTCCTGCTCGACTCCATCTCCAACTTGGGTGCCTTCCAGACTTTGGAGCCACGATTCCCAGAACTCCAAGGGAATCCTAAGGGAGTGCTGGGAATTGTAGTCTCACATGTCTGCAGGAAGCCGGATTTTTGTAACCAGATCTCCAACGCTTCCAATAGCTTTCTTCCGAAAACCCAGCTTGCTCCATCTCCACAATGTAGAGTAAAAACTCCCAGAATTCCGAGGGAATCATAAGGGGATGCTGGGAATTGCCCTCCCAATTTCAATTTTGTTTGTTTGTTTGTTTGTTTCAAGGTCCAATAGTTGAAAATCGAGTGAAGCAGCAATTTGGGTGAAAGCAATTACAGGACAAGCCAACGCAGGGTGCAAAAATCCAGATTTCCATTAGATGGCAGCGTAGAGATACAGAAAACAGTAGCCCTCTGCTGCCACCTGGGGGTTCCCTGAATTTTTACAGTTCAGAGTCAGCATCCACGAGCAGCGTTGCGGGGGCGGTTGTTAAAAAGATGCCAAGGAAATTATTCTGATGGGTGTGTGGGTGGAAAAGCACTGAAGATGGCTTAAAGCACATGCGTGGGAAGCCTGGATAAAGCATTGAAATTCGAATGATAACTGGCAAAGATCAAAACCGGATGGGCAGAATTGAAGCTTGCAAAGATTTACAGATTTCCTTAAAAAAAAAAATTAAAAAAATCTCTAAATCCACTTACTGCAGCCTGGCGCAAGAGGAATCTGCCTCGAGGCAAATGCCACTCATTTGGCCTCTCCAGATGTGTCCTACTCCAAGGGCCATCAGCCCCAGCCAGCCAGAGCGTCAGACCTGGATCCAGATGTTGCCCTTTTTCTGCCTCTCAATACTTGACTTACGATCGCAACTGAGCCCAGACTGTATGTTGCTAAGTGAGGAATTTTGTTAAGTTGCCCCGTTTTACGACTCTTCTCGTCACGTTCGTGAAGGGGATCCCTGCATTCCGCCAATTAGGAATACCGTCGTTAAGTGAATCTGGCTTTTCCCCACTGAGTTTATCGGAAGTCCGCAAAAGGGGATCACGTGACCCCGGGACGCTGCAACGGTCACAAATACGAGCCAGTTGTCAAGCATCTGAATGGAAATCACATGACCCTGGGGATGCTGCAACGGTCATAAGTGTGAAAAACGGCCATAAGTTACAAAATGAACCCATTGTAAGTCAAGGACAGGTAGTCCTTGATTTATGACTAGAATTGAGCCCAAAGTTATGGTTGCTGAGCAAGGCAGTTGTTAAGTGGGTTTTGCCCCATTTTATGACCTGTTTGCCACGGTTGTTAAGTGAATCACTGCAGTTGTTAAGTGAATCATGAAGCTGTTAAGCGAATCTGGCTTCCCCCATTGGCTTTGCTTGTTGGAAGCTGGTTGGGAAAGTCATAAGTGGTGATCACATGAGGATGGCTATAATCATCACAAATACATGCCCAGTGCCTGAATTTGGATCACATGACCCCGGGGATGCAGCCACGGTCGTAAGTGTGAAAAAGGGTCATAGGTCACTTTTTTCACTGCGGTTGTAAGTTTGAACCGGTATTAAATGAATGGTCGTTAAGTCAAAGACTACCTAAAGCCAACACAATGTAGAGCAAAAACTCCCAGAATTCCAAGGGAATCATAAGGGGATGCTGGGAATTGCCCTCGCAATTTCAATTTTGTTTGTTTGGGCTGCATTAACAGAGGGATAGAAACAAGATCACGTGAAGTGTTAACACCAAGGCCTTGCTGAGGCCACACTTGGAATACAGCATCCAGTTTTGGTCACCACGATGTAAAAAAGATGTTGAGACTCTAGAAAGAGTACAGAGAAGAGCAACAAAGATGATTAGGGGAATGGAGGCTAAAACATATAAGGAACGGTTGCTGGAATTGGGGATGTCTCGTTTAATGAAGAGAAGGACCAGGGGGGGACATGATAGCAGCCTTCCAATATCTCAGGGGCTGCCCCAAAGAAGAGGGAGTCAAGCTGTTCTCCAAAGCACCTGAAGGCAG